CGTCTCTCTTGGTCATGGTGTAAGTGAAGATCGAGGAAAGTGGATGATACAGAAGAGATCATAGTGTGTGTTTTTTTATTTCAAGCTCAGAAAGGTATTTACGATCGACGTTTAATAACATAGGTATCTGCTCCCTCATAACTTTCGTTTCAGAAGTGCTACGAGATTTATGCTGCTGTATTAACCCTTTTCAATCCTTTATACATCTGATGTTATTACTTTGAATCATTAACCTAATTACAGCATGGGGGTCGAAAAATGGAATATCAGCCTGAAAGTATTTTTAATCATTAGAACATTTTCTTTCACATGTGATGCTGAAATAATATATCAACATCCAGAATGCGAGCATAATGGAACATATTGTAAAAATTTTAATGTAAAATATAGGATTTTGCATTTCTTATCATTCTTGTTTACCAAACGTTTTCTTAATATGATGATGAATTGGTGTTATTTAAAAGAAAGTGATGGGAAGTATCCATTTCGCCCTGTGTCCCCACAAAGCTAAGACACATTCCTGGCGTCCACCAAAAAGCCATGCACCTGATAACAGGTCATTGGTAACGAAATTCGTTGCAAGCCTACAACCTTTCAGTGCATGTTAGATCAATTCCAAATTAAGATTTGCTTCATCACTTGGCGTGATTGATAAAGTTTTTGTTAATAATCAATTTAAAGAACAAATGAAAGATCCTTTTCACTTTTTAGAATATATTATATTTTTTTATACATTTTATCATCAGGGTTTTGTTTTTACATTGTTATCTCATTCATTAATATTCATCTCATAATTAAGAGTAAATGTATTGGTGAAGGTAGCCATCGTATCTTCGAGAAATCTCGTAAATGTAAAGATACAAGAATTGTGAAATAAATCAACAATATAAATGTCTGTTGGATATTCTGACTCAAAGTGGCATATATTGCTCAAATGAAGATGTTAATATTTGTCCGAAGTGCTACATAAGGTATCTGCACAAAAAGCATATGAAACAGCACGTTTGGAAGATGAAACTACTAGTAGTGTTCCTCTCTTAACAATCAAGGACCTGTTTTACGGGTACTTTTAACAATTTTAATTCGAAGGTAAGCAAATCCCCACTTCTGCAAAAACGTGCCAAGCATCATTTAGTTTTCACGCAGACAAATTGTGGTGTTCTGCGTTATCACATGTATGCTCATTTCATCACATTGGTAATGACCTGGACTCTTGTACACAGGTTATCCTACAATGAGGAGAGCCTTTGGATTCTCAATTATGAAGTAGGTCGTCTGAAATAATTTATGACCTTTTAGAAGAGTCGTACATCTTGTCAAAGACTCAATCAGCCTTCACTATCGATATTTCTTCTTGGATGACCCTGGCTGCAAAGCTTGGACAGGTTGGTCCAAAGAGCAATTTTTCAAAATCCATTTGTGCGTACTTAATTAGTCCCATTTCTTTCTTCTTCAATATATTATACCAAAATTACAAATCCTCTTTTACTGATTTGGGTTAAGATGATAACTGATATCTCTTGGAATCAGTGCTCCTGTCTTTTTAGCCCACCATCATCTGATGGTGGGCTATTCAAATCATCCTGCGTCCGTGGTCCGTCGTCCGTCCTTAAACAATTCTTGTTATCGGCATTTCTCAAGAAATACCAGAGGGATCTTTCTCAAATTTTATATGTAGGCTCCCCTTGGTCCTTAGCTGTGCAGGGCAACTTTTGAGACTGATCGGATAAACATCATGGCCGACAGGCAACCATCTTGGATTTTGATATTGAAAGTTTGTTATCGCTATTTCACCAGAAGTACGAGAGGGATCTTTCTCAAATTTTATATATAGGTTCCTCTTGGTCTTTGCTGTGCAGGGCAATTTTAGAGACTGATTTGATAAACAACATGGCCGACAGGCAGCCATCTTGGATTTCGATAGTGAAAGTTTGTTATCGCTATTTCTCGGGAAGTACGGGAGGGATCTTTTTCAAATTTTATATGTAGGTTCCCCTTGATCCCTTGTTGTGCATGTTATATTTTGAGACTGATCATAAAAACAAAATGGATTAAAAGAAGAACTAAACAGATCTTTCTCATATTGCAATGATCGATTCTATTTCTTTCACATTAAGTACTGTACTAGTAAATATGTGAAATGACAAACTCACTTTGAAGGTTGGCTTTCATACACATCAGTATTTAGTTTAGATCAAAAGTTACCTCAAGGTGCATTTACTGTTAGCATTACTCGATCAAACAGATTAGAGGAAAGAAGAGAAAAGATTGAACTGACAACGAACTAATGAAGATGGTACAAAGGTGGGCGCCAAGATCCCTCTGGGATCTCTTGTTGGTATTTCCCTGTCTAGTATTTCAAAAACCTTTCATTTTGTAGTACACGCATTGAATAAATCTACAATACCAGCGTTCCTTGGTCCTGACCATATGAGTAGGAAACAGATACTTTCACACAATACTGTATTCTCAGAAACATTCTTTAGAGACAGAGTCATGGTACATATGTTTATATGAATAATTTAAAAACAAAGTGCTGACCATAAGCTTCCTGATGGCTACATTTGGACACAGTAGGATCATTCTCTGGAAGCCAAAATGATGCAAGCATTACGAACAAACATCATAGATAAGCTCAAATGATTGGAGCAACACGACAATGTAGTCGTTGACCGTGGTTTTAGAGATGCCCTTCCAATGTTAGATGGCATCTGGTATTAATACCAGTATGCCCTCATATATAAAGCCTGATCTGAGCCAACACTCTGATTTACAGGCTAACATAGACAGGTCAGTTACTAAATCCCGATGGATTGTAGAGTCTTATCATGGCCGTCTTAAGCATTATACATTTTTTAAAACTCAACTAATATCAAATTGCTTCATTGATGTAATTGAGGAAGTGCTAAACATTGTGACTGCAAGTGTCCATGTTGTTTTGGTTTCTGTCAGAATTGTGGTATAGGAGGGAGCAGAAAAACGTGAAGATGCCTATGAAACGCGGGGAGAATAATTAACACTTACACTACTATGAAATTGAGAAAGTGGAAAGTTGCACATGATATGTGATCTTTTTCAGAGTGGTTTTATCAAAGCTTTACACGACAAAACATGTCCAATGTATAGTAACAGCTTCCTGAAGTGGCAGGGCGATCCTTAACACGGTTCAGCTTATGACGAGTGAGGCAAGTATATACTCTGGAGTAATACAGGTGTCTGAAGGTGTGAGCGTTAGCCACGTGATTGATTATAGTCATGTGATCAACTTATCGTAAACTGGAGATGAACTGCATGGTTAGCAATTTATATCCAACGCCAAATAGATTTTGTTTAGAAATGCTGCTTTATTACATTGCAAGTAAAAGTTGAAAATAATAACATATACAATTGTCCAATAGAAAGAAAACAAACATAAGAAAAAAATTATATATGTTTTGGAATAGGAATTTTCCACTAAACAGGAAGTGACGCAATTTTTGTCATGCGCATAGAAAGGACATGAATTTCGTTGTAGTTTTTTGTTGTTGTGAAAATTGAAGCTAATCACATGTTTGATATCAAATCAACATACGTAGTAAGCGATTATATACTATCTTATGTGAATCAATGCCTTAGGTATCAACTTTATGTAATATTTATCAAAATTGAAAATAACTGTTGTAAAATATTACAGGGGAAAATGGTTGACCAGGATGTCTCTGCCTTTCTCTTCTATCTTCATTTAATGTTGTTTTCCCCCCTGTTGTTGTGTTTTAAATTAATGTATTCTAATTTATTATTGTTTTCGTTTAATTTAATAATTTTCATTTCCTGTTGTTGTCTTTTAATTTGATGTATTTGAATTTTATGTCGTCGTCTTGTAATTTAATGTGTATGAATTTCCTGTTGTTGTTTTCTAATTGAATTTATTTAGATATCTGTTGTTGTCTTTTTATTTGATGTATTTTAATTCCCCGTTGTTGTTTTCTAATTTAATATATTTAGAAATCTTTTTTTTTTGTCTTTTAATTTAATGTGTTTTTCATTTCCTGTTGTTGTCTTTTGATTTAACGATTTTCACTTCCTGTTGTTGTCCTTTAATCCAATGCGTTTTAATTTCCTGAAGTTGTATCTTAATTATATGTATTTTATTTCCTGTTGTTTTCTTTTCTTTTAATGCATTTTTATTTCCTGATGTTGGATTAAATAGATTTATTCGTATTTTCTGTTTTGTTGTCTTTTCAACCGTTCAATCGTTCAAGCGTTGCAAATGAGGTAGCAGATCAATTTTGAGTTTTTAATGGCCCTAAGCAGACTACAGGACAGAGATGTGCAGGAACCCTTCATTTGTCGCCTTTTATGTAGATATAGTGGAATACTTCAGATTTATTCTTTCCCTTAAGCTGTAGAAGTTTGTACCACTCAAAAATAGATATTTAATCAACATGAATTGTGACACTTCATCAGGCATGACTCTTTATCAGGCATTATCCGACACGACACTTTATCAGGCGTGACACTTTATCAGGCATGCCACTTTATCAGGCGTGACACTTTATCAGGCATGACACTTTATCAGGCGTGACACTTTATCAGGCATGACACTTTATCAGGAGTGACACTTTATCAGGCATGACACTTTATCAGGCACGACACTTTATCAGGCATGACACTTTATCAGGCATGACACTTTATCAGGACACTTTATCAGGCATGACACTTTATCAGGACACTTTATCAGGCATGACACTTTATCAGGCACGACACTTTAGCAGGCATGACACTTTATCAGGCATGGCACTTTATCAGGCAGGACACTTTATCAGGACACTTTATCAGGCATGACACTTTATCTTTCCCTATACCTGCAGAGGTTTGTACAACTCAAATGATTAATAATATCAATAAAAATAGATACAAAATCCGCATAAATTGTCACTCTTTATCAGGTCGACTCGACAATGTATTTAAATATAACAATGCTGCCTCGTGACCTAAAATGTCTATGTGCACCGATTACATAAAAGCCGTTCCTTACCTGAGAGAGTCATTATAGTCTAAGACACCACTGCAGATATGAACTCGTTTTTACCTCTCCTTCTCGCGGCCGGGCTGGTCTGTGTATACGGTAAGCAAGTACTGGCCATATGTATTCTCTCTTCTTGCTCTGAAGTGATGCTTGTTGCTGAAATAATAAACTGCCAATGTATTTTTTTTCTGTGGTAGCACTTATATCAATTAACGTACCTAGGTCTACAGATAATGAAAGATTTCAGACAAAAGATGAAATTTTGTTTTCTAATATGTCATGCAGTGCCAATCAAATAAAAATGGTTTAATAAAGAACATAACTATATGTATTTTGGTCGCTATTGCAGAAATTTCTGACGGATATAAGTATTATTATCGGTTATATAATATTATTCCATTGAACAGGCATGACTGGGAAATATATAAAATTAATTGTTAAATAAATATTAAAATTAAACGTCCCTTTTTAAAACACGTGTTTATGTGTTGATGAAGTGACTGCTTTGTGTATTTCATCTGACCTTATTGAAATATGGGAGTCGGGAAATAGACAATAGTTAGCGCCTGATAAGGCAGCTCCTGCGAATTCCTCAAAATTGTATTGATTAACGTATATGATGATTGTATTAATGATATATCTATGTCCTGTAAAGCGCTTTAGAGTGGCTTATGTTAGCTAGATAGGGTGCTATATCAAATGGAGAACAAAGGACAAAGCCGAATATGAAAAAGTGAAATGAGAAAAATTCAAAAATGAAAACCAAAACACAAAATACATTTTACTTAAGATCCCAATTCAGCTGTTCATACATTTTTTCACGCGGACATTCTATAAAGAATCAAAACATTTTCAGAAACATTTATAGGAACTACCTTGCGCACATAACAGATTTTTGTTAATTAGTTAATTCAAATTCCTTCGAAGCAAAATATCGGAAATGAATATTCGCGAAAATTAAGTATCTTTCAGTAAATAAAGAATTAAAGACGCTATTCACTAAAAGTATTTACTTCTCTTCATTCGAGATACAGAATAGGCTGCTCTACCTCAACACTACACAACTGTAGGTGCCGCAGAACTATCGTGAAATTGTTTCTTACCTAGAAATCGACTCAACGTTATTTAAAAAGCATGACGTGAGATTTAGATAGGCGAAACAGCTGTATGGCGCTGTGTTACTCATTTCTGGCATACTATATCTATGACCACATTTTATAGGTTCATACATTTGACACAGAAGGGCGAAACAGCTGTATGGCGATTTATAACTTATTTCTGGCATACTATATCTATGACCAAATGTTATAGGTTCTATCACATATATTGTCTTTAACGATAATCTTTTATGCTACAAGTTGGTATATTCTTATTCCCTGAGGTTTGTCGTAACTTTGGTGGGTATAATTATCTCTTTTTTGAGTTGTGGCAGGGCCACTTTACCTATTTTGTATTTAAAATAAACTACTACTCCTTTATGTTTTGAAATACGTATAATTAAGGGGTTACTACACCTCCCTTCTGTTTCAGCAGCAGTTTAACCAATTTGGATTGCCACCTTTTTGGCTCCTATCATCAGTGATGAGTTCAAGAAGGGCGAAAACACTTTTTGGGGCAGTACAATTCATTTTTGGCAATTTTAATATGGAGTCTAATTCTCATCAACATGATATTCATCAGCTATAGTAGTCATTATTGACATAAAAGTAAATTGTCATCCATATCAAATTTTATAATTTTTTGATAGATTGGTTATTTTCAGCTTCATACATCAAAGCTTTTTCCGGTTTAATTATTTTACGTCATTTCCGGCTCATTATAGGAGCCAGCCTCGATCGTGCGTTATGTGGCCCAATATGTATGATGTACTGTCAATACGGCAACGTGGAGGACGATGACGGATGTCCCATATGCCAATGTAGTAAGTATGACGTCACAAACGTGTTAGGTTTAGTTCAGCCTCGTTCTGACTCAAATTTACCCTTCTGTTGTTGTTTTTTAATAATAATTTGTCTTTAATTACGGCCAATGCTGTAAAATAAATTTTATTATATCTCACAAATGTGAAGGATCTGTTTGAGTCTCGTTCTTACTCAAATAGAGCTCACCATTTATAAACGTTCATTAATGACGCAAAATATATTTTACAAATGAAACATAAACGGAAATAAAACTTCTTGATTTTCTTCAAAGAAACTGACATTTTTCTTTTTGTTAGATTTCGGCAAAGTTTATATCATAATCGTAATAACATCATTTTCTATGAAATTGTTGCGTTATTTTCAACACAACAATACCGTTTCCTATTACAGAACCCAATCCCGATAGCTTAGTTGTAAGAGAGATACAACCACAACAAGGCTGTCCTGCTGTGATGTGTATGATCTACTGTCCCAATGGTCACCTGTTAGGGTCGGACGGATGTCCCCAGTGTGCATGTGTCTAAAACGACATTGACCGATTTCATGTCTTTAGTGAAACTGTTGACTTGATATAAACTTTGCGCAGTTTGCTTAGTGTTAATTGTTTTTGTTTTGTCGTCATAGATACTGTCATCAGAGACTCTGTCGTCATAAATACTGTCGTCATAAATACTGACGTCATAAACACTGTCATCAGAGACTCTTTCGTCATAGATACTGTCGTCATAAATACTTACGTCATATACACTGTCATCAAAGACTCTTTCGTCATAGATACTGTCGTCATAAATACTGACGTCATAGACACTGTCATCAGAGACTCTGTCGTCATAGATACTGTCGTCATAAATACTGACGTCATAGACTCTGTCGACATAGATACTGCCGTCATAGACACTGTCATCTAAGACTCTGTCGTCATAGATACTGCCGTCATAAATACTGCCGTCATAGATACTGATGTCATAGATACTGCCGTCATAAACACTGTCATCAGATACTCTTTCGTAATAGATACTGCCGTCATAGACACTGTCGTTAGAGACTCTGTCATCATAGCTTCTGACGACATAGACTCTGTCATCATAGATACTGACATCATAGTCAATGTCATCAGAGACTCTGCCGTCATAGATACTGACGTCACAGACACTGCTATCAGAGACACTGTTATCAGCGACACTGTTACCAGCGACTCTGTCATCATAGATACTGCCGTCATAAACACTGTCCTCTGAGACTCTGTCGACATAGATACTGACGTCATAGATCCCGATGACATGCCTATTTCTGTTGCGTAAACCCGAAGACGTAAAACCCAAATAAATTAATCACGAAAAAACGTTGTAATACATTTGTTCCTGGTAGATAATGATGATTATGTGCATGAAAACGTTTGTGCCCATTACTCATTTCAAGGTAGGGTTATAAATATGTATATTCGTACTGTAAAATATAGCGGTTCACGCCACAAGTGAGATGACACAAATAACTCTTAATTTTCTATATGATATCCATGCAGAACAAACTATAACCTGCACTTGCATAGTTGTTTTTCTTCGACACTGAAAGGTTGTTGGTCAAGGTAACGTCCTAAATAGGAATCCTTTCAAGAACACACGGTCAGGGCCCGGTTTGAAGAAACATTGATAGTTTTCTTGACGGTGCAAAAAATGTGCAATGCGTAGAGCTCGACAGTTTTTGAAAAATGTACGAGGATCTTTGTCGCGGTTTAGCTGCTTATAACGAGTCTAGCAAGTATGTGTGATGGAATATTCCAGGTGTTTGAAGGTGTGAGCATTGGTCACATGCTACGTCATTATCACGTGATCTTCTTATCGTAAACTGTACGTCAATTGTCTGGTTAGTTTTATATGAAGTGCCAAATATAAAACAAAAATAAAAGTTATAGCATCTTATGCTTTATTTGGCCATACTATTTTTTCATGCTGCATTTATGAGGTTACAAGTAAAATATTAAAATCAAATAATAACGAAGAAAGGATGCTTAAATAAGTAAGTAAAATGCATGAATACACACAAAAAATATATTAGGACTCTACTACACTAAATGCTGCAAAATCAATAAAACGAAAAGATACAGGCTCCTAGTGTTGGAATTAGGAGTGAGGATCACACCAACTCAGGTAGATTAATTATCTGAACCTTCAGGAGATGTTAACTGATTGTTATTAACCATAAACGAGTCTACATAACTTGTCACACTTTACATATTAAAGATGACAGTGTCGAACTTTGTCTCGTGACCTTACAGGGTTAATAAGCACCGACTACATAAAGGCCGTTTCTTACCTGTAGACAGCCAATATTTCGACAGATACTACGGAAGATATGAACTCGTTTTTACCTCTGCTTCTTGTGGCCGGGCTTGTCTGTGTAAACGGTAAGATATCCAAACCATGTGCACCAATTTGAATTAACTGTACAAACAACATTAACAACGCTACCCAACCCACCATAGATTTGGGTATGTTACATAATATGCATAACTGTGTTTAATTGTTGACGCTCATATCGTATATTTGTAATACGCATCCCCTTTCCCCATGGAAGAGTTTAGAGATAATCTCTGGATCATCCTTATAGATTTGTACATATAAAAAAAACAAATATATAGATATAACGTCATGACACTATCATCAGAAACTTTGTCGTCATAGATACTGTCGTCATAAATACTGACGTCATAGACACTGTCATCAGAGACTCTGTCGTCATAGATACTGTCGTCATAGATACTGCCGTCATAGACTCTGTCGACATAGATACTGCCGTCATAGACACTGTCGTCAGAGAATCTGTAATCATAGCTTCTGACGACATAGACTCTGTCATCATAGATACTGACATCGTAGTCAATGTCATCAGAGACTCTGCCGTCATAGATACTGACGTCACAGACACTGCTATCAGAGACACTGTTATCAGCGACACTGTTACCAGCGACTCTGTCATCATAGATACTGCCGTCATAAACACTGTCCTCTGAAACTCTGTCGACATAGATACTGACGTCATAGATCCCGATGACATGCCTATTGCTGTTGCGTAAAACTGAAGACGAAAAACCCAAATAAATCAATCACGAAAAAACGTTGTAATACATTTGTTCCTGGTAGATAATGATGATTATGTGCATGAAAACGTTTGTGCCCATTACTCATTTTAAGGTAGGGTTATAAATATGTATACTCGTACTGTAAAATATAGCGGTTCACGCCACAAGTGAGATGACACAAATAACTCTTAATTTTCTATATGATATATATCCATGTAGAAAAAACAATAACCTGCACTTGCACAGTTTTTGTTTCTTCGACACTGAAAGGTTGTTGGTCAAGGTAACGTCCTAAATAGGAATTCTTTCAAGAACACACGGTTAGGGCCCGGTTTTGAAGAAACATTGATAGTTTTCTTGACGGTGCAAAAAATGTGCAATGCGTAGAGCTCGACAGTTTCTGAAAAATGTACGAGGATCTTTGTCGCGGTATAGCTGCTTATAATGAGTCTAGCAAGTATGTGTGATGGAATATTCCAGGTGTTTGAAGGTGTGAGCATTGGTCACATGCTACGTCATTATCACGTGATCTTCTTATCGTAAACTGTACGTCAATTGTCTGGTTAGTTTTATATGAAGTGCCAAATATAAAACAAAAATAAAAGTTATAGCATCTTATGCTTTATTTGGCCATACTAATTTTTCATGCTGCATTTATGAGGTTACAAGTAAAATATTAAAATCAAATAATAACGAAGAAAGGATGCTTAAATAAGTAAGTAAAATGCATGAATACACACAAAAAATATATTCGGACTCTACTACACTAAATGCTGCAAAATCAATAAAACGAAAAGATTTAGGCTCTAGTGTTGCAATTAGGAGTGAGGATCACGCCAACCCAGGTAGATTAGTTATCTGAACCTTCAGGAGATGTTAACTGACTGTTATTAACCATAAACGAGTCTACATAACTGGTCACACTTTACATATTAAAGATGACAGTGTCGAACTTTGTCTCGTGACCTTACAGGGTTAATAAGCACCGACTACATAAAGGCCGTTTCTTACCTGTAGACAGCCAATATTTCGACAGATACTACGGAAGATATGAACTCGTTCTTACCTCTGCTTCTTGTGGCCGGGCTTGTCTGTGTAAACGGTAAGATATCCAAACCATGTGCACCAATTTGAATTAACTGTATGTTATTCCTTGTACAAACAACATTGACAACGCTACCCAACCCACCATAGATTTAGGTTTGCTACATAATATGCATAACTGTGTTTGATTATTGACGCTCATATCGTATATTTGAAATACGCATCCCCTTTCCCCATGAAAGAGTTTAGAGATAATCTCTGGATCATCCTTATAGATTTGTACATATATAAAAACAACATATATATAGATATAACGTCATAGACACTATCATCAGAGACTCTGTCGTCATAGATACTGTCGTCATAAATACTGACGTCATAAACACTGTCATCAGAGACTCTGTCGTCATAGATACTGTCGTCATAGATACTGTCGTCATAAATACTGACGTCATAAACACTGTCATCAGAGACTCTGTCGTCATAGATACTGTCGTCATAGATACTGTCGTCATAAATACTGACGTCATAGACTCTGTCGTCATAGATACTGATGTCATAGACACTGTCATCAGAGACACTGTCGTCATAGATACTGTCGTCATAAATACTGACGTCATAGACTCTCTCGACATAGATACTGCCGTCATAGACACTGTCATCAGATACTCTTTCGTAATAGATACTGCCGTCATAGACACTGTCGTTAGAAACTCTGTAATCATAGCTTCTGACATCGTAGTCAATGTCATCAGAGACTCTGCCGTCATAGATACTGACGTCACAGACACTGCTATCAGCGACACTGTTACCAGCGACTCTGCCATCATAGATACTGCCGTCATAAACACTGTCCTCTGAGACTCTGTCGACATAGATACTGACGTCATAGATCCCGATGACATGCCTATTTCTGTTGCGTAAACCCGAAGACGTAAAACCCAAATAAATTAATCACGAAAAAACGTTGTAATACATTTGTTTCTGGTAGATAATGATGATTATGTGCATGAAAACGTTTGTGCCCATTACTCATTTTAAGGTAGGGTTATAAATAAGTATACTCGTACTGTAAAATATAGCGGTTCACGCCACAAGTGAGATGACACAAATAACTCTTAATTTTCTATATGATATCCATGTAGAACAAACTATAACCTGCACTTGCACAGTTTTTTTTTTTCTTCGACACTGAAAGGTTGTTGGTCAAGGTAACGTCCTAAATAGGAATCCTTTCAAGAACACACGGTTAGGGCCCGGTTTGAAGAAACATTGATAGTTTTCTTGACGGTGCAAAAAATGTGCAATGCGTAGAGCTCGACAGTTTCTGAAAAATGTGCGAGGATCTTTGTCGCGGTTTAGCTGCTTATAACGAGTCTAGCAAGTATGTGTGATGCAATATTCCAGGTGTTTGAAGGTGTGAGCATTGGTCACATGATACGTCATTATCACGTGATCTTCTTATCGTAAACTGTACGTCAATTGTCTGGTTAGTTTTATATGAAGTGCCAAATATAAAACAAAAATAAAAGTTATAGCATCTTATGCTTTATTTGGCAATATTAATTGTTCATGCTGCATTTATAAGGTTACAAGTAAAATATTAAAATCAAATAATAACGAAGAAAGGATGCTTAAATAAGTAAGTAAAATGCTTGAATGCACACAGAAAATATATTCGGACTCTACTACACTAAATGCTGCAAAATCAATAAAACGAAAAGGTACAGGTTCCTAGTGTTGCAATTAGGAGTGAGAATCACACCAACTCAGGTAGATTAATTATCTGAACCTTCAGGAGATGTTCACTGATTGATCTAATCGACCATAAACGAGTCTACATAAATTGTCACATTTTACATATTAAAGATGACAGTGTCGAACTTTGTCTCGTGACCTTACAGGGTTAATAAGCACCGACTACATAAAGGCCGTTTCTTACCTGTAGACAGTCAATATTTCGACAGATACTACGGAAGATATGAACTCGTTCTTACCTCTCCTTCTTGTGGCCGGGCTTGTCTGTGTAAACGGTAAGACCTCTCTCTCTCTCTCTCTCTCTCTCTCTCTCTCTCTCTCTCTCTCTCTCTCTCTCTCTCTCTCAATAAATGAGTGCTTTCTGATTCGTTAGAAAAACACAAGTGTGTGGTCTTGCAATACAGAACGCTGTATTTCATGGTCTGAAAATTGCTTGTATTACTATAACAAGATTCAACAGGTATGTGATAAAATGCTTTTCTTCATACTTGACTGAAAGGAGACAAGGAGTGAGTATGGGGGGATGCAAATCTAACTGGAAACCCTTACAGGGAGGGGTACCGCAAGGGTCAGTTTTAGGGCCATACCTATTTTTATTATATATAAATGATTTGGTTTCTAATGTCAAATCGTTTTCAGATTACAATCGTAATTATGGTCTCACTGAGGGAGACAGAAAAATGCTGCAAAGAAGTTAAATGGAGATTTGCGAAACAAATCTATATTGGCAAATAAATGGGGAATTATTTTCAATCTGGCTAGAACAGAAAGTATCCTCTCCTCAAGACGAACGGGCTCTTAGACTTGTTTCTAACAACTTTTTGATTTTTTTCGATTGGTAGCGTTGCTAACCAGAAACATTTAGGTTTGTTTTTAATACTCATGGAAATTGGTCTTATCATATAGATTAAATCTCTGATAAAGCTTGCAAAACAATAAAAGAATACTTTGTATGTTGAAATACAGAATTAACAGAATTGTTTTCTGCAGATTATATATACTACATTTTTACGACCAATTTTAGAATATGTTAATAAAGTATGGATGAACTGTACCCAGAGGAAAAGCAGCGTCTTATAGGCAATCCAGCTGGAAGCTTCCCGTTGGATATACAAAACAGAGCGCTTGGCTTCTCTTGTACTCAGAATTAAAATGATATAAATAGAATATTAAACCGTGATATTTATCATAAATAGTATCATCATAGAAATGGTATGTCATTCAAATAATAATTCTATAATTGTTGTCAACTTCGACAATTGCTGATCATTACTATCTTCTCTTACATCATAGCTATTTCCTGTTTTACAATGTATTATATTTCGTCACTTCCGGTTCGTTGTAGGAGCCAATCTCGGTGCTGTCTTTTGTGGTCCAGTATGTATGATCTACTGTCAATACGACAACGTAATGGACGAAAGGGGATGTCCCACGTGCAAATGTAGTAAGTATGATGTCACAAAACTGTTATTTCAGCCTCGTTCTGACTCATTTGATTCCCCTAGTTTTAGTTCTTCATAAATAATTAATTAACTGTAATGTCGGTCAATGTTGTGAAATTAATTCTGCTATAACTTTTTAAAGCTTCCATCTGCGCCAAAAGAGCTGACATTATTTGCGGTAATGTTTAAAATTCTGGCTAAGTAAACCATATTTACCTCAATTAGAAAAATGAACTTTACACATAATCTGATCGTGAGAATGGCCATGGACGATGAATTCAAAACACTTACTTTATATGAATGTGATAATATTCATAGCTCTGCAATTAACTTACTAAAATGTTAGTTGAAATTAAAAGGAATCATACTCCACCTTATAGTATATAAAACATACACAAGACTCAATCCACAATCAAAACGGATATAAAAAACATGAATATTGAATGGACTGGAGGACAGCAAAACAAAAAGTAAGGAAACATTACAATAGAAGAAAAGTGCCCAAGAAGCTTCATGTGGGCCAATGAAACATTGTAGACCACCATCTATCCAAGATATTTCTGACATATTCTACCATCAGTAGATGTAGGTCGACTGTACTATAATGACTTATCTAAACGTACTGACTGTCAGTGCATGTCTTGTGCCCTAGTAAAGACGATAAGGTTAGCTAAGGATTGGTTCACGTCATGTCGTCCTTTCGGAGAGTAACAATACTGACCTACTTATCAACTATGTGTAACTCTTTTCGGCCGTTTTTATTATTTGCCGCTTTGGTAGTACACGATAAATATAGACCATCTGTGACTTTGGTCCCCACTTTACCTCCTCATATCTAGGAATGGTATCCAAGCTGACCTTTATTTTATGTCATATCATGATGGCATAACCCCAAAGTATGTTTATACAAAAAATGAAACTTATCGGTGATAGCAACGAAAAGGCCAATATTTGCATCCATTCTTTAGTGGAAGCTACAAAGTGAACATGTATTCAGTATTTACTGCACCAAAATCTCTTCGACATTTATCAGTTGAACTTAAGATCAAATTAAAGTGTTCTTAAGCATATATAGACGCACAAAAAGGGCAGAGATTCTATAAGACCGTTTATAACCTAACAAACTAATTTAAAACGTTTGCTTACAACAGATGCTGTTTTTTTTAGAATAGCTTTTCACGTTAACCGTGTCAGCATACATTTCAGCTACAAGGTTATGGCCATCCTCGGCGACTGATGTGACATTAATAGAGTTGAGCACTTTATGACGTTAAGTAATTATCAACAAATACCAAGTAGAGAGCAGCTATTTGAAAATTTTGTTAATCGAAGTAAAAAGGCAAACAACGTACTTGTTATCCCTAACCCTAACCCTAACCCATGGACATGCAGTATTAACATTGTGTTATTTTAATAGTTTCTCTAGCAATCGTAACATGATTTCTCAGAACGTCAGACAAACACAGGAGATTGACTTTTGAAAATTAGTAATAGATACAGTACGTCAAAATGAATAACACTGTGCTACTGCACATCCGTTCATCAGTGATGCCAAAACGTTGGGGCCCAACAGAATGAAACTAAATTGGTCTAAACTGCTTTTGAAACAAAAGGGGAGGTGCAACTCCTCCTGTTCTCATCATTCCAAGAATAAGTGTAGTTACGTATCTATTTCAAATAAAAGTAAAGTGAGTTGATTAAGAATGATTCCAGTACTCAAACGAATTACTTGTGTTTATTGCGAGTCTGATATAAAGACTTTGTCACAAGACTTAAATCGTTGGAGACCTGTATTGGTGTTTTTTTCTGGATTTGACGACATACACTTACAAACTTTGATGGGATCAAATGATTACTTTCTTTTTTATTGTTGTGTCTCCGTTTACATTTTTGCCTTTTTCATTGTTCCGTTTAAGTCTTTGTGTGTTCATGCTATGTTTGAGTCTGTTATTTCACATTTTAATTATATCAAATGAATCATTACATTAATATGAATTATACTTGATATATATGTCTATATATTATTGCGATTCATTTTAAAAATGGGTTATTTACCGAACGTAAAACGTTGGGTGATTCTTCAAAAATTATTAATTCACACCAAAGGATGACGTTATAAAACCGACTGTCAACACTTTGCTTTGACAACGTCATCTCAAACTACACAAAGACCACTGCAATATAAAATGTCCATAACAAGAGGAGATTATGACTGAATTAATCGATTATATGCCCTATACCTTTAAATAATCGCTTGATGTTCAATATGAAAAAAACCCATTTTGAACCCGTTCGTGCTTCTTAATGAATTCAGTGATGTTTTCTAATGTGAGAAAATTAAAAAATATAACAAATACTTCAAAAAAACATGAAAAACATGAAACAGTAGACTGTAAAAGTTCAGCAAAATTTATTCTGCCAAACGATCGACGTAAGGTGATTTGAAAAATCAGCACTAAAACATCTTCTTTTAAAAATCCATGTATTTTTTTTAATTAAAATTGGCATTTATCTATCAATTTTATTAGAATTTCGTGGTAAAACCATTTTTTGAAATATGGCACCACCTAAGATATAATAACCATTTACCATTTCTTATTCCAGATAGCGCACCTCTTATAAAAGAAGTAACGACAGAAATAGCAACACCCGTTATGGAGGAAGTGACGACAGAAAAAGCGTGTCCCCAAGTGATGTGCATGATTTATTGTGCCAACGGTTACCTGTTAGGGTCGGACGGATGCCCCAAGTGTGGATGTAACTAAAACGACATTGACCGATTTCATGTCTTTGGTTCAATTGTAATCTTGATATAAAAGTCTGTAAAGTGTGCTTTGTGTTATCTGTATTTAAGGTGTAACCTATTTTACTGAATAAAATTTACTGTCAAAGTGTGTTTGCCCACGCCTCACAAAACAATTGTACAGTTCTTCGCTGGAAGTTCTGCAAAGGTCAATGATCAAAAACTTGCTTTCAGCGTCACTTTTTATTCAGAAAAGCACATGAATTTTAACAGACACCATAGCGTGTATGACATTGTTTTTCTGACACAAAAGCGATGACAATAGAGCAGAATATGAACAAAGACCTGTACATCGAGACAACACTCAACTTAAAATCTTTTGAATATGCAGCGGCATAAGAGAAATAAAGATTTTGCACTTGCTAAACAATATGCTATGAAACATTAAAAAGTACAGGTTCCAATACAATATCATCATAAAATCTGCAAACTTTGGTTTTGCTTTTGAATTAATACAAAATTCTGTTGAAATCTGTATAAAAGTGTTTTCGTAATTTTATCAACGTCATCACGTTGTCAAGATTAAAACAACAGCAAAATAATTTCTATGGAAATTTTGTTAATTTGAAATTCCATTCCATTTGAATTTGTTTAGTGACGTTTCATCATTTGATAAACACTACTACGTCAATATCACCTCAATATTGACCACGACTCAATACTGTTAACTAAGCAAAAATCTGTTCATTTCGGCGATGTTGTACATGTCAATTGTATGTCTTAAGTTAGATACTACTACCACTTTTCCATTGTAAATAAGCCCTGATTTTTAAGGACAATAACAGACTCAGTTAAGTCACCTGAGACAAAGTCTAGCCAGATATGCTAGAATCAAATCTTCTTCATGTATGTGAAGGTCTTAGTGTGAATTTCACTACCAACCATTCCCGCGTGGGGACGGAATAGTAGAGAAATAACACGTTTGGGTTTATTTTGCATATTTTAGTAGAAAAGAATTCAACCTTGATTGTAATGATTATCATGTGATTGCATGTGATGGTAAGAAAATAAGAACTCTGACTCATCCATACGCGGTCTGCGGGATGGGGCAGAAATGGGTCAAAATTAGCTAAAATTTAAAAAGAAATCCTACTTGAGATCAAGTATACTAGCATCAACTCTTCTGAATAGATGGCAATCTCATGCGATGCTGTATCGATATTGTAAATGTCAATAACTCTAGGTCACACAAACGGACCAATACTGCCAAAATTTCAGCAACTGTTTTCTCCAGACCCAGATATGCTGGAATGGGCCTAAGGAGCTTCAACAAAATGTTAATTTCCATACTTCAGATCGACCCAATTCTGCCTTCGGAAGGGGGATACATTTTACTACAATGTTCAATTTCAATGTTTTCGGGCACGTTCCAGCTGTTTACCATATACCATTTTGTCATTAAATCCACCGTCCGAATTGGATTATAGGTAATATTTATTTGTCGCATCACGACAACAAATAACAATTGTATACACCTAATTGACCGGTAAGCTCATGGGCCTCTTGTTTTGATACTATTTTAACTAGCGTTCCAGAATTAACTTAAAAAAATGTGATGACAAGTTGCAGAGTGTTGAAGCCTTCTGCTTCATAATCAGGAAATCCGGAAACCGAACCACGTGGCCATTGTGTTGTTGTGAAAAGATAATTATATTATTAACTACGGATAATAATAATAATTTGTGAACCGCTTTGAGATGACCTACGAGTTTGTTTTAACATAAATCGTCTTACTATACAAAAAAGTTTGGTCTTATCCACGAGTGGCCAAACAAGGCATGCTCGATTTGCTCTAACCAGGTATCCGGAAGGCTAACCGACTCGATTTGCGCTAACCAGGTATCCGGAAGGCTAACCGACTCGATGAGCGCTAACCAGGTCCCCGGAAGGCTAACCGACTCGATGAGCGCTAACCAGGTATCCGGAAGGCTAACCGACTCGATGAGCTCTAACCAGGTATCCGGAAGGCTAACCGACTCGATGAGCGCTAACCAGGTATTCGGAAGGCTAACCGACTCTATGAGCGCTAACCAGGTATCCGGAAGGCTAACCGACTCGATGAGCGCTTCTTTCGATTGAAATGAATGTTACAAGGGCAGGCTATTCAAATCAAGCAGGTCCCGTGTTTACGTATTCTAGACTCATGCTCGTGTTTCTGTTTAAGCGTGTCTTAATACCTATTTCAACTGAATGTTTTGTGCGCTTCGAAATCAATTTATCTATAAAATTCTTTAAAATACCAAAGAAACACATAAGTGATTTTTTATTACTTGAAGAGAAATGTAGAAATATCCAGCTTTCGGAAATATTTCAACATAGGTAATGCTCACGTTGTAAAAACAGAACAAAAACATACTTGTACTTCCTAGCGCTTTAATATGATTTGTACGAACTCACAAACAAAGATTTATCTCAAAATTTAGTTAAAATGAATCATTACCTTACCACAATACTTAATAATATAAACACAATATTGTAATCCCCAAATATTTACAAAATACAATCAAACAAAAATCGAACATTATATAAAGATCATGTTTTGTCATTCTTTTTTATGGAACTTTGTGATGAAAACCTATACGGTTCACGTAGGGTCGTAACTGTCACGGCTCAATAAGTAAGATGTCAACAGGGTCAAGGGTCAAGGTTCAAAGGTCAACCCATTGAGACGGATGTCATGCCTCCGAGTTTGTTCAGGGCGTCCCTTTTCTCCTGGTGTTTCCTTGCCATGAAGACGACAGCCAGCGTTACAATGATCAGAGCGCCGAGAAGAGCGAGGAGACCGACGATGAATCCAGCTTTGCTCATACAAACATCGTCATCTACGTCAGGGGCTGAGGAGGAAGAGGAGGAGGAAAGAAGGGTCGGATAAAGAAAAAAAGATCATATAAAATTGTTACGGCAAACTAAATATCACTGTTGTTAAAATGGGCGAATTTAACATAAGAAAGGAAGAAAGAAAGAAAGAAAGAAAGAAAGAAAGTAAAAATGAAGATTAAAACAGAGTTTCAACAAACTTTCAAATATAAAGAACCGTCTTGTACAAAAACAATGACCAATAATCCTAATAAGGACTAAATGAATAAAAATGAAATTTTCTGATAGTGAGACGAAGTCAAAAGAAGTTTATTTTCATATACATGTATACACTTTAAAGTATATTTGTCTTAGAGAGAAAGGCACATCAGACAAGAAAACATAGGATCATTCTATATGACTAAAAAGGATTATCGCAAAATGGAACAGCCTTTTTGTATAGACTAACTTATACAGAAACTATTCTATCAGTAAGGCATTGCAGAAAACGAAGGAATGACCTGAAACATATGACATAATATATGACCCAGAAAGGCACATTACAAATTCCCTTATAAATAAACTATCGCTTTGTGAAATGGAAAAAACCCACCTAAAACCCCTAGGATATCATACATATAAACGAAAAAGCAAGAATTGTGTTTTTAAGAATGGAACAAAATATTGCTAAAAAGAATTGAGGAAATGCTAAGAATTTTATTCATTTGGTTGTCTTCCTGTGCTTTGGTTTGACTTAATGGATTTTGCAAATGATCATTTACCTGATTACGTTTGAGTTAAAATACCACTGAATTTCGTATAGTTGAAAACTGTATATACAATAAATAAAACATATACATACTTTGCAGGATGACCTCCTCTGCTGCTATGGTAACGCTAGCCCCAACGCTGATGTCATCAATTCCGGATGTGGGATCAGCCTGTCTCTTCGAGATCCCTCTCTTTTTACGACCAAAACCATTACCTCCAGAACAGGTAGCCTAGATGGAGGATACACATAGAGAGGTTCAGAATAGCAGCTACTTATCTGTATTACCGAGGTGATTTTAGATCAAAGTGTCGATTTATTCATTTAAGAAGTGGGGTCAATTATACTGGCAAAACTTCATTATTTCAACTCGGTCAAATTCAGCTCAATTGCAGGTCAAATGTGCATTTCTGTTACTTTTGGCTTTAAAAGTTCTTCCTTGATTGCCTCGATTATCAGTTTGAAGACGCAAAACGATGTACGAAAAACTGAGATGTCAATCAAATTTTCGTAGAATTGGCAAAAATGATTTACCGATTATGTTCATGGTATATGTAAAAGCAAATGCCTACATTTTAGCGTTGCACTCCAGTTTTCCCATTACCGCTCGGGTCGAGGTTAGCCCCCCTAAACCCCCTCAACCCCACCCACCACCACCACCACCACCACCACCACCACATGTGATTTGTCATCATTTCACGAGAACAAGACTAAAGAACGATATCCAAACAAACTATCAAATCTCGTCTTTTCTAGGCAGAAGACGAAACAACGAATGAAAACAAATCATCCACCATAGTTAACTAAAACACCCCTAGGTAACTGGAGTAGACTCTACCATAAATTCCTCTGGATGAGTCCATTATGGTCTACAGTGGTGAAATGGTTAACTGAAATGAGGAGAGAACTGAACTCCGAATTATATATTAATGTAGAACTGTATTAAACATCGACTAAATGATAAAAAGTACGAACCGCAGAGCATGACCCTGCACAAACGATCAACGTGCACGAGAATGTCATGGCAACTGAACCTCCGTTGAGGTCGGTCGTTCGGAAGGCCCCAAATGTGTTAGCAAGGTAACCTTGTGTTGGTTTGGTGAATTCTGGAAACAGTTCAGTATCTGCAGCGCACCTGGTTGGAAATAATGAAATTTCGAGAAAAATGATATTCGTTTCCATAGAAACTTGAAAAAAAATGCTCCTCTTTATTAAAAATATTTTATTAAAGTCAATTTTGTCCATGTTTAAATTATCGAATTTTGTCTGTTTACCCATGAAATTGACCAGATTAACATTGCCTGTGCGTATGAATACATGTTTTCATATTTTGCAGGAATAAATTACATACAATTAAATACGACATTTGTATTGGATTTTTGTTTGTATTTTTATCACATCTGTATACAATATGATCTATATAGTTCACGTTACGTCAATACATAGACTTGCACAAACTTCAAGTTCAGTGGTAAACGATGTAAACATTTCACAAGTTCCGATTATTGCACACGCGTTTTAATTGAAATAAACGGATTGAATCATCGAGTTATTCTAGAGAAAACTCAACATGAACTGCGAAGCAGTTTATCAAATTTGTCTTAAGACCAACTCAATCCATCACCCTATGAAATTGGCCAAAGGAAGACTCGTTCAATAACCTTGTTTAACTCACATCCATAACAGTCGTTATTCATCTTGTACTAGGTGCGTCTATATCATTATGTTATGGATTTACTGTCTCGCTGAAGTCATTAGGCCAAAAAGTGAAATTCAAACATTTAAAACGGTATTCGGCATTATTTGTCTCTAACTTGCAATCCAATCATGGATAACAAGTTTTTCGTTAATCAATAGGACTCTCCATCTAAAAAAAACGATACTTTGAACAAATTGACTGCGGCTTGTAAACTGTATATCACCACACTGAATTTTAAGCAATTCACAAACTTAGTTTGAGGCTTCTCTGATCAGTTAGACAAATCTGGCGAAGTACTTTATTGGGCTAAATTACTTACGACGATTCTACTATAGATATGGTGGAAGCTGTGCACTCCTTAGCAACGATGTCGAAGTCAGCTGTAAATAATAACACATGCATTATATATATATACAGTATATACTGCAAAAGTGGGAATTTTCGCGTGCGGAAATGTTCGCGTTATGACCCGTTAAATGGATCGCATTGTGGAAATATTCGCGTTGTGACCAATTAAACTGATCGCAGTGTAGAAATGTTCGCGTTGTGACCCGTTAAATGGATCGCATTGTGGAAATGTTCGCGTTGTGACCGATTACACTGATTGCGGTGTGACAATGTTCGCGTTGTGACCGATTAAACTGATTGCGGTGTGACAATGTTCGCGTTGTGACCGATTACACTGATTGCGGTGTGACAATGTTCGCGTTGTGACCGATTAAACTGATTGCGGTGTGACAATGTTCGCGTTGTGACCGATTACACTGATTGCGGTGTGACAATGTTCGCGTTGTGACCGATTAAACTGATTGCGGTGTGACAATGTTCGCGTTGTGACCGATTACACTGATTGCGGTGTGACAATGTTCGCGTTGTGACCGATTAAACTGATTGCGGTGTGACAATGTTCGCGTTGTGACCGATTACACTGATTGCGGTGTGACAATGTTCGCGTTGTGACCGATTAAACTGATTGCGGTGTGACAATGTTCGCGTTGTGACCGATTACACTGATTGCAGTGTGACAATGTTCGCGTTATGACCGATTAAACTGATTGCGGTGTGACAATGTTCGCGTTGTGACCGATTTAACTGATCGCGGTGTGACAATATTCGCGTTGTGACCGATTAAACTGATTGCGGTGTGGCAATGTTCGCGTTGTGACCTATTTAAATAATAGCGGTGTGGCAATGTTTGCGTTGGACCCCCTAATTGTGACCCCCTAAATGGATCGCGGTGCGGAAATGATCGCGTTGGCAACAGCTCTGAATATTCTTCCTATCTACTATCTATATAGTCTATAAACAAAATATTTGTGTGTGGATATTTTCGAGCTTATTAAATAAACGCGAAAATTCGAGCATTTTGACACCGCGAAAATTTCCATTTTTAATTTTGATTTTGATGAAACATCATAACAAACTAAACAAAGATTATGAAGAATTAGGATATTTTGGATGCGATACACTGGCATTACGATACTTTTGTTTGACGAGTTAGAACATATAGCTACAATGTATAGATTTTAATGTAATTTTGATATAAGCAATGTATCATTTATGCCCTGCTATCTGACAAACTAACTAGTCGTCTGCAGAGGGTCCAGAACACTGCAGCACGGCTAGTTACTCGTACTCGAAAGAAAGAGCACATCACACCTGTGCTTTATTCGTTGCAATGGTTACCTGTACGATACAGGTCGCAGTACAAAATTCTGGTGTACAGATACAAGACACTGAATGGAACAGCTCCTCAGTACCTACAGGAGCTTGTTACCCTGTATCAGCCGTCACGATCACTGCCGTCGGAGTCAGAATCTTTGTTGTGTGTCCCAAATTCTCGAACTGTGACCTACGGAAACAGATGCTTTGGGAGGGTTTCGGCTACGTTGTGGAATAGCTTACCATTTGCTATTAGAAAGTCAAATACCCTGGCCTAGTTCAAGAGGGACATCAAAACTCACCTCTTCACGTCTGCAATTTAGAATCTTTGCAAAGACGTCATGTAAATACCACCCTTTTATTTCTTCAATTATGTGCACATTGCTTGCTTAAATGTATAAAAGTGATTGTAAGCCTTTGTTTTTTGTTTCACAATTATAACCATTACTATTATCCAAAAGCGCTTTAAAGTAATTTTACAAATTATATAGGGCGCTATATAAATGTTGTATATTAGTATTATTATTATTTTTATATAGGGGCAGGTGTTTTGTGTAGCACCATGTCATCATACACAGGAATCATTTAAATGTGATGTACATTATTTTACGACGGCAAGTTTAAACATGAAGTTAAAATGTATTTATATACACATAATTTGTAGTGGATAGTGCTTCTCTAGTTAACTTGTACTGAATGGTTTACAGTGTTTCAACTTGGTTTCTTCATGTATTCATTGAGACGAAAAAAAATAGAATAAAAAACACATGATGGACGCTTCAAAATGTATTGCGTAATACCATGGTGTTAAATTTGAATTAACAGAAGTATAAAGTAATTTAATCATAGGAACTACACTGTGAAACCTTAATGTTGATAACATAGCTCAATACTACTAAATTGTTCGAAACATCTGTGCAAGATTACATCCGGGTTACCAACCCCGGAAGTCGAGATCACTTCCGGTTTACTTACCCTGAAACTCGGCGTCAAGTTCAATACTCATGGTTAGTGAGTCAGTGAGTTGGACACTGCTACCAGCGATATCTATTCCCGATCGATACAACTTCATAGACGCAGTCGGTTTCACTGTTAAATTTTGGCCGGCATCATCGTCCTTGTCCCTGGAGGGCAAAGGTCATTGTGAGTCGGGTTTATATTGGGGTCAAAGGTCAGAGATAAAACAAAACGATGACATGTGAACTCAAATAGTCAGAGAAACCAATAGCTTGGTAAAAATGAAACTTTTTTTATTTATTTTTTTATTAAAAGTGGTTTTATGTTTTCAGGATAATTTGCTATCAAGATTAATTATTTATACATCACTCGTGAAAGTGTGGCTTCTAAATCAACATACATGAACATTGTATTTATCAATTGCAGCTAATTTCATTGATAATAAGGGTGATGACAATTTTCTTGATGCATAACATTGTGTTATGATTGGACATCGGAGCGTTGCAGGTTATGCATGATGGATTTCAAACCTAACCCTAACCCTAGTTTGATGATGATGCTTTGTGTAAGTTGTAATTGTCTGTTGTGATAGGCTATGAGAACGAGGGTGATTTACATAATGTATGCATATGTGATTTGATTGGCTACTACAGGGAGATAATTTATGTGTGCGAAGTCTGATTGGCTACTACGTAAGATAATGTATGTGTGCTAAGTCTGATTGGCTTACAGGGCGTTGACGTTGTTGGCCACAGTGAGATCTGCGAGGTCCATGATGCACATGATGGGGATCTGTTTGTCGTCACCAGTCTGGTACAGCGCCTTCTTCTGTACGATCATCTTAAACGAACTCGCCTGCAAGATACAACAATATTTGTTTCGTGTCGTATAAGGCAACAAGTAGAGGAATTGATATAAGCTCTTAACAGCCTGCATTCCAACCCCGCTGCATGTATGTTACAAACGTGCCTTATTATTGAATAAAATACTGTTTACACTAAGTAATGCAAGGATATCTTAGACGAACTCGCCTATAAGATACCAGAAGATTTATTTCGTGTCGTATGAAGTAATAAACAGAGGAATTAATAGAAGCTCTTACGATAAGCTTGTTCACAATTCCCACTGCATATAGGTTATATCCATGCGTGGCTTGTTAACCATTTACTGTTACTACTTAGTAATGTTAGATCATCTTATACGAACTCGCCTACAAGATACAAGATACAAGATACAAGAATATTTACTTCGTGTCTGTAAGGCAATAAGCAGAGGAATTGATATAAGCACCAAGCTTGTTTTTTAATCCCATGCAATTTCATATATGTTATAAGCATGCGTGGCTATTAAATAAAATACTGTTACTACTTAGTAATGCTAGATCATCGTATACGAACTCGCCTACAAGATTTCGTGTCGTATAATGCAACAAGTAATATTAGACCTGCAGCTAGTATCACGACAAACAAATGTAAAGAACGATCTATAAATAGAAGTAAAACATTTGAAACATACACATAATAATATGCCTTCTTCTGTACGATCATCTGAAACGAACTCGCCCGAAAGATACAAGAATATTAAAACAATCAGAGGCGTAAATATATGCTCTATTCTCGTTGTTATGTCCTAAATAAAAGAATTAATATTAGCCGGGAGCTTGTTTTCCAATCTCACTGCATGTTGTAAGCATGCGTGATTATTGAATAAAATACTGTTTATGCTGAAAAATGTTAGACCTGAAGAGCTAGAATCACAACGAACACGTGTAAAAACAATATAGATATAGTAGTAAAACAATTCAAACAGATGCATAATAATATGTATATTTTGTTTAACGAAAAAATGTTTAAAGTATACATAACATTTTTTGCAGAATGCTGTTAATGATGATGTTTGTAAAATGTCCATAGAATTGAACAAATTAAAGCAGAAAATGAACCATTTAATGAATGTGATCAATATTTAACACTTTTCTGACAGATTTGCATTTAGAATTATTCATGTAGAAATTGTCCCATGTTTTTCACTTAACCACATTTATAAAATGAATTTTAATAAAAAAAAATATCAAAACAATAATTTTTTTTTTTTTTTTTTTTATTCATTTCGTCGTCTCCATAATATCAAATTTCCTGACTTGAAATGCATGTTTATTTCTCAATTAAACCTTCTGGTCGAGAATGAATGTCGCGTAAGCTGGTCGATCATGGTACTCATTCTCAGTCTATAGTTTTAAATAAAAGTTGAGTTTGAAAGTTCACTAAGTTGAGAATAAGTTTTACGTACCCACGCGATGCCGCACGAGGCGAAGTCGAACTCATGCACGGTGGAGGCGGCATTAGTTGTCTGTTTACAGGCGGACGTCTGGCCCTGGATGTAGATGATTCCGCCATCAGCAGCGTTATCTAACGTCAGCTGGAGTTTACTGGCTGTACAACTGTTCACCGTCACTACAAGGGAGATAACTCGTATGACAAGGGGAGCCAACTTATTCATTACTATAGTTGATGATCGCCACTTTTCAACTGCATTGTGAAAGATGTTAATAGTTCATCGTCGGTACAAGGAGGTAACATGTATGACAAGGGGAGGCAACTCAGTTATAACTACAGTTGACAATCGCCACTTTTTAACTGCATTATGAAAGATGTGTATAGTTCATCGTAAATACAAGGATGTAATCCATACACGGGAAGATAACCCAGTCAGGGGTGTTTCTAGGATATTTGAAAGAGGGGGCGTAGAATCAAATCTTTTGATAAAAATTTGTTGGACCTTTTTGTGGCTAAAAAACATAAAATAATTGTGAAATGCACTAATGTAACGGTTCCTGACTTGGAGCATGTATATTTTATAGTTAAAGTGTCAGGATTTGACATTTTTTTATGCCGAATTCTCTCCATTTATTGTCTTTGGTATATTAAAATGATTAGATGGATCTTAACAGCTATTTACGTATCACCCATCGGATGGGGGAATCGTAAAAAGAAAACAGAGTATGTGTTTAATTAATGAATATAATAAATTGCCATATTCAATACAATATGAGCAGATGACGATTTTTTATTTTTATTNGGGGGGGGTACGCCCATTACGCCCTCACCTGGACCCGCCCCTGCCAGTGTGATTTATATTCGTTGACCTCTACCGTTAGTTGCAACGCCATAGAGATAGGTTGTTCGCAATCACTACAAGGGAGGTAACTCGTATGACGAAAAGAGTCATTTCAGTGTTGAATATAACACGTGATTGTCTCGTGTTAGACACACACCTATTATTGGTTAATGAAAGGGAGGTAAAAATCCTGAAAAGGGAGATAAATCAGTGGTGTCGAAGGGAACACATGTGCTTATATAAAATAGAGTTATATTCCTTGGTGTTGAATGGATATATATAGCAATTTTTGTTTCGTATTTTCCATTTACTTACGAGTGGGCAAAAACTGCGCTTGTCCGAGGGTCGCAATGAAGGCAAGGATAACAACCGGCAAAATAGACTCCATTCTGTAACATATAAAACCACTGTAATTTTATAAAAATGCATGCGTCTCTGATGTTATTGAATAATGATAGTTTCATGACGCAATAAAAAAAAACATAATCTTAAATGAAAATATCAATAAAAACGTGTTCATAAGATTTTTACATTCATGTCGATCACACATATTTCAACAATAAACATATTTAATGACATGTGTACGCTGCCATATTGTAATGATCAGTTCGTGACGTCATGCTTAAACCCGTCTTCTAGTTCATGACGTTAAGTTCGAAACATTTTTGTTGTTAAGGGACGTGAAAAGAAATTAATCCGCGATTCACTGACGTTTAATAAAAGAAATCCCACAGAATTCTGATTGAGTAATCTGGTTTAAATTCTGTTCTAAATGGTCACTTGTTTTAATGGCGACACCAATGAACACCTATCTAAATGACCATCTTTCTACAATGAACACCTGCCTACAATGAACACCTGTCTACAATGACCACCCATCTAAATGACCACCTGTCAACAATGAAAAATCGTCTAAATGACCACCTGTCTAAAAGACTACCTGTCCACAATTAACAACCGTCTAACTGACGTCCTGTCCCCAATTAAAAGCTGTCTACAATGAATAACTTTCTACAATGAACACCTGTCTATTATGACCACTTGACTTAATGCCAACCTGTCTACAATGAACCTCTGAAAACAGAGAAATGTATGAACCTATGTTGCTAGGTGTTTTACCATATGGACCTAACATAAAATAACGGAACAAAGAAACTGTGCATAGGTAAAAAATTATATCTAAAAATAGTATCAGAATCATTAGTAAAGAAAAAAATAATCTGTCAAATATCTTTTGTACATACTATTAAAGTGTGTTGACAGAGAGCCCCCCTCCCTCCGAGAGGACACATACTGGTAAAGGTATTGAGCAATTCGTTCAAAATTGTCAAAGAACACCCAATTCACGCGAAGGTACAATATCCTCAGCCAGTTCTCTACGTCATTGCCGGGAATGTCCACTGTTAGCAGTAATGCACGTATTGCATCGACGTCACACGAATCCAACAAGTTTGTTGAAAAATCTCCGGGGAATGCCGTTCCAGATGCGAACTAACGCACAACCAACGGGAAACTTCATCAGCCAATGTCATAAGCCGATTTGTCAGTTGACGTAGGCGACCTTGCATCTCGTCTCATACGTGCTTGATGGGCGAAAGATCAGTTGTCTGAGAACAAGATACGAGCCTAATCTCGTGTAGTAAAGCTCCTTAACCAGAGAAGACGTGCAAAAATGATGACGTCATTGCAGGACGAGGCGGATAGCTGGACGTCGTGGACGAGTGTGTCGTTCACGCGGACATTTTCTCATAGTTCTATGACTGATTCTCTGAAAGCTGTAGTTTGAGTCCGCTAGTGTTTCAACTGGATGTAATTGCCCTGACGTAATGACGTCACGCGCGGACGTTCTGACCTGGGGCGGTCCCTAGTGTTACCAGACCGCTGAAAACGTCTCCATGAGGCATGCATAGAGTTCTGGGTCCGTATTCATGAAACCGTTCTCATGCTCAAGTATGGAATTTGTGCTCAAGCCGAATTTCTTGTTCCCGTTATAAATTCATAAAAAATGTGTTTTCAATGATTTGGGCCCGAAACATTGAACAGACTGAAAGCCGAAAACTATTTTCAATGTTTACATTTGACTTTTTGATCGATTGACAAGATTTAAGGGAGTTACAAGAAAGAAGGTTTGAGCACAGAATCAATGATAACGGTTTCATGAATACGGGCCCAGGTGCGTAACAAAGTGTCTAGGAAAAACATTCACCAAGGCATAGCTTAACCAAAAACGTTTACCAGGAATACAGTTGTTTTGTATGTAGAGGTTTACAGTAAAAACCGTAACAAAGTCGGTAAAGACTGTCAAAGGTATTTACTAGCACTGAAGAAAGCGAAATTCGGCACGTGCACAAGGGTAAAAGAATGCACATGCACAAAATGCATTTACCCGTCAAGGTTGTTAAGGAGTAAACAAATGATATTTATGTAAATTTTCAGGTTGAAAAAAATATAATAACATCGTATCTTTTATTTCTATATACGCACAGTTTATTTTAATCTTTAGTATATATTATATTAGAATAGAAACAAATATAAACTTTCGTTATAACAGAGAAAAAAAGGTGTTTAATGCATAAAGTTACATTTTGGCTTTGGTACAAAGATCCTTATTTAGAAAAGGCTTTGTGAATTTTATTTATGTTATCGTTTTGAATATCAGGAGATAAGCATTTTGTTTCTATCTAAATATTTGCGAAAGAGAACAGTGATTAAAATCTCACCAGAATGTGTCTTGACGGTAACAAGAAGTAATACATCTGTGTCTACGGACCAAAGGTTGGTCACCCTAACGTTCAATTGTCGCAAAACTTAAATCTAGTACATTTTCAAATTGGATTGTGAAAATATTCATTTAGCACAACCAATAAGTGTCTATATGTGACGTTTCGATGACTAGTACGGTATGTACGCTGTCACCTTCATCAGACAAATGACCAGTGAAGCGTAAGTACATAAATGTGTAAAATGCGTACGAGTTGTCCCCAAAATCGATGTCGATTCGGCTACGCTGTAAGCGTATGTATAATAAGCTGTTATATATGTACCGAAATGATTCGATTCACCTACACTTTTTTCAATACTTGGTCAAATCTCACCATCCTTTGCACCGGAAGTTAGGCGCCGTACGCACATTGCCCAACAGATGAGATACATTAGTCACAGAACAAGAAGGCAAAATACAAGATCAGAGTCACATCGCAAGGGCATTGCAAACCTGTACATATCCAACCTGAAGAAAACGTTAAGAAACGTTTTCAAAATGATTGAAATTCAAATCTGAAATGGTATGTTCAGGGCTTCAAATGACTAACCGAAGACAGTAAAGTCAATTATATTTGTAAGCCGTCAAATATTTCTCAAAATTAATATTTTCAATATTTCTGCTGACGACTGGTTCAGGTAATCATGCTTTGAAAAGCTGTAGTTATAAATGATATACAGATGTGGCTACGTTAACTTACCTTACTGCGTGTCGAGGATCTTCCTTGGCCGTATCTGATGGGAGTTAGGGACTGGACAACCTGGGCACGTCGGACACGAGAGTTTTATCAACAACTAATGACCAATAACCTTCACATTTTATGCAAGAAGACAATTTCATTAGAGGCTGATGTCGGTCATGACCGCGGTCAACTGACCACCACATCAATTATTACTCCCTTTTTGATATATACGTATATAGGTAACAAATCTTACTAATCAAATCAATATAATGTGTTTTGTAGATGTGAGATTTACGTCCATAATTAAATCTCCATACCACAATATTCTGTAAAGAAACAAAACAGTATTATTTCCTTCTCAAACAACTTTGTACATGTATATTAATGTTATACTGTTGAATAGTACATTTTCGTGGGACGCTAACTTCGCGGTAAATGTCCAATCTTGCTATCTCCACGTTGGTCCATGTTTTCGTGGTTGAAAATATTTGCAAAATGTTCACTTCGGTCGAATGCGTTACTTTAGTACGATACGTTTTATCATCTTTTATTTATCCATTTTATTCGTTTTTCTTCTTCTTTCATTTGTTGCAAATGAAACGCTTTCAAATGGAGACCATTTTATGTTAAATTACAACGATTGAAGGCAAAATGTGGGAAAGAATGCAGCAATATCAACACAAGAGGACAAAAAATAAGTTTGGAGATGAACATTTGAAAAGACACCAGCAGAAGACCATGACATCAAAAGATACTGAACTTTATTTATTTTGCAACAATTTTGAAACAAGTTTTTACATCTCCTTTGATCACTGAACTGATCCGGATGTAACCGAGCGCGGGGGTGTTAATGTTGGAGGAAACCGGCGTACCCGGAGAAAACCCACGTTGTCGGGCAGGTGACCCAATACCTTTTCACGTCCGATCGGAGAATCGAACCCCGGCCGACTTGGCGGAAGGTGAGTGCGCTGTCCACTGCGCCACCCAACCACCATGTAAAAGATATTGGTATATAAAGTTTTACTCGATTTTACAGATTCTGATGGCTTTGTGTGAATGCCTTGTTAGATCATTACTTAAGTTTAACAATAATATAATTAGATTTTCTTCAAATATTACATAAAATCATATTTAATATTGACTGTGGAAAAAAACTGGAACTATTTCCTCTCCTTTTCGCTCATTGATATTTCCAGAATTATTCACCATTTTGTATAAAGACCCAGGGTCGCATTCTTCTTCTTCTTCCGCTGTTCTTTTTGTTGTTTTTCTTGCACATGCCTAGATGTGAAAGGCACTTTTTTTTGTTGCCGCTACGACATCTTATTATTCGAAAGGTGGTATGCCATTTTCTCGGAAACTACAATCAATGAAACTTAAACTTGAATAGTTTTGGACATGGTTACGTATAAAATAATATTTCGCAACTGTGTATCCAAGACCGCTGCCTTGCCTTCTGATTGTTAGAAAATTATATATTTGACCGAATATATTTATTATAGCACCATTTGCTACTGCGGGATCGTTTTGGAGACTTCTGTACCGCCTACCATTACAATCAGCACTTCTTTTTATTTAACATTCTCTGTTGATTTATTTAAGTATCGTACTGGACCAATATGTTACCACTATAAAATTAGTCTGTCGTTGGATTCATTTAGGTTACCTTTAAAGTGACCCCATTTTTCATAAACAAAAACAAAACATCGGGTTAATATATTCCTGGAGGATTAACCAAAGTGTTAATACTATGATTCGATTTATTTCGTAATACTCGTCCAAGATAATTTACTTCTGTATATTAAATAAAAATGTGTTACCTTATGAATAATTGATGGCCTAGATCTACCGATTTCTACAATCGGAAACCGTCGGCATTTTCCGTAAACGATGTTTTCGTGTTTCTTGTCTTTAAACGATTTTAACGGTAAGACTTATTTGATGGTAAACATTTGTGAACCTTTTCGATTGTTTCCCTTTGATTAAATGTTGTATATCATTATGTGAAATAGCATTACATGAAGACTAGTAATTGTAACTATATTGATCCATGTGTATGGTAACATAATTATTGCACGTAGTCTCGTTCAACCAGACGCTTGATCACTTGTAATTCACTGTTAAGCGTTCGTCGTAGCTTGCGCAGACAACAACGAGATTGAACGAGACTATATAGCACGCAATTCAATCAAACATTGAAATGACTGCGTTTAATCAACTAGAACTGTCTTGGACACGTCATCAAGACGTTTGTTTTGACGTCAATTAAATGTACACGATTTAGAATTTGAATTGTACTTTCAACAAACTGTCGAACTGAACAAGTTGAACAAAAGAAGGTATAAGCTACATCTGTTTTTGACTTGTGCTATTAATTTGATCGATCAAGATATAAAATTAAACAATTGGAGGAAGAATAAAAAAAACTGTATGAAATAAAAAATCAATAAAAAAAAATCATGAAAGATGAGCTGATACGTAAAATTGAAACATAACACGTCTCTTTATAGTAACCCAAATAAACTCCTAGGATGTTGTTTGTGACAACAACAGACCTGTTTATGTGGCGTTTGTCTTAACCTTGATTACTCCATGTCCCCAATCTGATCAATTCTTACGATCAACAGACCTGTTTATGTGGCGTTTGTCTTAACCTTGTTTACTCCATGTCCCCAATCTGATCAATTCTTACGATCAACAGACCTGTTTATGTGGCGTTTGTCTTAACCTTGTTTACTCCATGTCCCCAATCTGATCAATTCTTACGATCAACAGACCTGTTTATGTGGCGTTTGTCTTAACCTTGTTTACTCCATGTCCCCAATCTGATCAATTCTTACGATCAACAGACCTGTTTATGTGGCGTTTGTCTTAACCTTGTTTACTCCATGTCCCCAATCTGATCAATTCTTACGATCAACAGACCTGTTTATGTGGCGTTTGTCTTAACCTTGTTTACTCCATGTCCCCAATCTGATCAATTCTTACGATCAACAGACCTGTTTATGTGGCGTTTGTCTTAACCTTGTTTACTCCATGTCCCCAATCTGATCAATTCTTACGATCAACAGACCTGTTTATGTGGCGTTTGTCTTAACCTTGTTTACTCCATGTCCCCAATCTGATCAATTCTTACGATCAACAGACCTGTTTATGTGGCGTTTGTCTTAACCTTGTTTACTCCATGTCCCCAATCTGATCAATTCTTACGATCAACAGACCTGTTTATGTGGCGTTTGTCTTAACCTTGTTTACTCCATGTCCCCAATCTGATCAATTCTTACGATCAACAGACCTGTTTATGTGGCGTTTGTCTTAACCTTGTTTACTCCATGTCCCCAATCTGATCAATTCTTACGATCAACAGACCTGTTTATGTGGCGTTTGTCTTAACCTTGTTTACTCCATGTCCCCAATCTGATCAATTCTTACGATCAACAGACCTGTTTATGTGGCGTTTGTCTTAACCTTGTTTACTCCATGTCCCCAATCTGATCAATTCTTACGATCAACAGACCTGTTTATGTGGCGTTTGTCTTAACCTTGTTTACTCCATGTCCCCAATCTGATCAATTCTTACGATCAACAGACCTGTTTATGTGGCGTTTGTCTTAACCTTGTTTACTCCATGTCCCCAATCTGATCAATTCTTACGATCAACAGACCTGTTTATGTGGCGTTTGTCTTAACCTTGTTTACTCCATGTCCCCAATCTGATCAATTCTTACGATCAACAGACCTGTTTATGTGGCGTTTGTCTTAACCTTGTTTACTCCATGTCCCCAATCTGATCAATTCTTACGATCAACAGACCTGTTTATGTGGCGTTTGTCTTAACCTTGTTTACTCCATGTCCCCAATCTGATCAATTCTTACGATCAACAGACCTGTTTATGTGGCGTTTGTCTTAACCTTGTTTACTCCATGTCCCCAATCTGATCAATTCTTACGATCAACAGACCTGTTTATGTGGCGTTTGTCTTAACCTTGTTTACTCCATGTCCCCAATCTGATCAATTCTTACGATCAACAGACCTGTTTATGTGGCGTTTGTCTTAACCTTGTTTACTCCATGTCCCCAATCTGATCAATTCTTACGATCAACAGACCTGTTTATGTGGCGTTTGTCTTAACCTTGTTTACTCCATGTCCCCAATCTGATCAATTCTTACGATCAACAGACCTGTTTATGTGGCGTTTGTCTTAACCTTGTTTACTCCATGTCCCCAATCTGATCAATTCTTACGATCAACAGACCTGTTTATGTGGCGTTTGTCTTAACCTTGTTTACTCCATGTCCCCAATCTGATCAATTCTTACGATCAACAGACCTGTTTATGTGGCGTTTGTCTTAACCTTGTTTACTCCATGTCCCCAATCTGATCAATTCTTACGATCAACAGACCTGTTTATGTGGCGTTTGTCTTAACCTTGTTTACTCCATGTCCCCAATCTGATCAATTCTTACGATCAACAGACCTGTTTATGTGGCGTTTGTCTTAACCTTGTTTACTCCATGTCCCCAATCTGATCAATTCTTACGATCAACAGACCTGTTTATGTGGCGTTTGTCTTAACCTTGTTTACTCCATGTCCCCAATCTGATCAATTCTTACGATCAACAGACCTGTTTATGTGGCGTTTGTCTTAACCTTGTTTACTCCATGTCCCCAATCTGATCAATTCTTACGATCAACAGACCTGTTTATGTGGCGTTTGTCTTAACCTTGTTTACTCCATGTCCCCAATCTGATCAATTCTTACGATCAACAGACCTGTTTATGTGGCGTTTGTCTTAACCTTGTTTACTCCATGTCCCCAATCTGATCAATTCTTACGATCAACAGACCTGTTTATGTGGCGTTTGTCTTAACCTTGTTTACTCCATGTCCCCAATCTGATCAATTCTTACGATCAACAGACCTGTTTATGTGGCGTTTGTCTTAACCTTGTTTACTCCATGTCCCCAATCTGATCAATTCTTACGATCAACAGACCTGTTTATGTGGCGTTTGTCTTAACCTTGTTTACTCCATGTCCCCAATCTGATCAATTCTTACGATCAACAGACCTGTTTATGTGGCGTTTGTCTTAACCTTGTTTACTCCATGTCCCCAATCTGATCAATTCTTACGATCAACAGACCTGTTTATGTGGCGTTTGTCTTAACCTTGTTTACTCCATGTCCCCAATCTGATCAATTCTTACGATCAACAACCCGGTGTTTATGTATTGAGGGCGTGAGGATATAAAAATGGTACTTATACTGTATATACACAACTTCTTTCTGACATGTTACGCGCGCATTTGTTAAAAAAGCACAAAACATTACGTAACATATACTAGTCTTCGTGTTTTGCTTTATTTATATTTTTACCGTCACATGGACATTTAAAACTATTTATCGCTATATTTATATATATATGACTAGTTATGTCTAGCAATGTGCACAGGGACTTGAGAATTTGTTACATCTATATTTGGACTTAAACTCAGGTGTTCCAATGATGGTATATACGTATTTATCATCGGGTGGCGTTTCTACCGAAAGTTGATCTAAACCCCTAAAACTTATCACAATATTTGGATCATCTTAGTTTAGGTTCAAATATAGCTGTAACAAATTCTCAAGTCGCTAATGCAAATTGGTGCCTAGAGGGATGCAACTGTTAAATTTTGTGTTGACGGCAATGTAAGGGAAGTAACTCGTATACGAAATAATAGTAAATGAAAGGCTGGGAAATTGACATTGTTACCACTGAAAAACAGAAAATCTAAACAAATATTTATGAGTTGTATTTTATTGTATATAAATACTGTTAAGACTGTAAATACTTAACTTTTGAAACCGTTGAGTAAACGAATTTAATTTTAAAAAAATCGTTAATTAATAATTAATTAATACAAATGCAAATATCAGCATATGCATTTGACTGTTTTTGATTATTTCGCATCCTTCACATGCACAACTTTTTTCTACTGCGGATTGATACATTCACATGTCGGACAACCGTCTTCACCATCAACGTAACCAAGGAAACAGACAGTGTCACAGATTGGCTTTTCACACTGGTCATTGGGAGGGGCAGGGTCTGAAACAATAAAAAAGACAATTTCTTTTCGGTCTCATGATAGTTTGTTACATGTGTATGGTATCCATTTATATCAAATTAAAATAAATATTTTTAAAAAGTTCTAATATTTCATGATGTTGACAGGCAATGCGATACACGATAATTGATTGTTGCGGAAAACATGACGTCACATTTTTCATCAATATAATTTGGCTAGGGGTCTCTTTATGTCACTTCTCCCTCTCTGTAATAAGGCTCCCCGGTTTCTTAAAGCTGCACAAGGATATAAGGTCGCTGGATGACCTAAGACAGTTCGATAACAGAAGTTAACCGGTGACCGTATACAAGGAAGTCTGGTTTTCTGAGACAGTTCTGGCAGATTGCAAAAGTCCCTCTTGCTAACCTAAGGTAGCTCAGTGATCAAAGTTATCAAGTGACCTTAGATATTAAAGAAGTCCTCTGGCCTTAGATATGTGATAAGCGTGACGATTTCGATTTTTCAGAACTTTCGTGAACTTTCCTTTTCTTGATAGTAATATCCCTGTGAATATGTCGCAGATCACTCGATATTCAAAAGCTTTGCTTAAAATATCACAATTTCCGTGAAAGACTTTGGATGCTGACTGACAAACTTACAACAAAGAGTTGTGGCAGTTGACAAATTACATGAACGAAGGTAGCTTGAATATCCGATATCTCAAGATTGTCTTAGGTATCCCACTGCCTCAGCAGGTATATTTGACTTAAGGTAGCCACAGCACACATTGAAAAGAGTTCCTCTGGAATAGCCACAACAGCGGGGCGACCTACTTGATATATCCATATAGATAGTAATGTATTCATCAGCGTACTATTTAACTGTCATTCTACGTTAAGCCAAAATTGAGATAATAGAGTGTTCCTGCTGGGGGATAACATACTTACTACATTTACATAAGGGACATCCCCTTTCGTCAATCACGTTACCATAGCGACAGTACATCATACACATAGACCCACAATCCTCTTTATCAACAGTGGTTCCTGTCAAAACGAAAGTAACATTCGAAATAAATAAGTAGGGAAATGTGATGACATCTAATAGGTAAAATAGACAAAACAAAAATAACAATGACAGAAGTGTTCCTATCAGGACACCTTCAACCGGAAGGTACATCACGGTTCCTATGAAGGCAAAAAGGAAATTATCCGGCGAAGCTTACTGTCTCTAAGTTTTCGGTAATTTCCGGAAAACGATTCTTACCGTAGACGTATGAGAGGCTGATGAAGAGGAGAACGGCGAGGAGGGAATTCATATTGTTTAGTTGTATCAATATGATAGTGCAGATTGACGATGTTAATATCTATTTATAGTATCAGTGTACCGAGTCGTAATCAAACATGTTGACGTCACGTTTACGATAGCACACTTAGCTGATAACGTGAGAAACCTTTGGTAAACACATATATAGGGACCAGCTACGGAAGCCATTGTGTCCCAAATCAGATTCATATTACATCGGCTTTATTATACTAATTTGGCAATAATCGATATAATGTTAACATTTTATCAAGAATAATTGCTGTGTGTTCAGTATTATTATATTATAAAAGGGCATCAGTGGCCGCAGTGGCCGAGTGGTTAAGGCGCCGAGCAGGCTATGATCACTTCGTCGCGTGTTAGAGGTCTACATGGGGCAGTCACCAGGTACTGTCCGCAGGTTGGTAGTCTTTCTCTGGTAATCCGGTTTGCCTAATTCACCAAAACCTGGCTCGATTTCGATTTTGCTAATGTGAAATTTCCCTTTCTTTATGGTAACACCCGTGCTTCCGAAGCCTACGGTGAGTTATGTCGCAGTTGCTTCAATATTTGAAAGCTTGTTCCGAATATCAGGATTACCGTCCACTACAGACAGACGAAATAGAATTTCAATAGATACCTGTTGAGTAAGATCATGGCCAGTTTCACGTTCACCATCATGATCTCATTTTGAAATATGATCTTAACTTTGTGTGATGTGAAGATCGATGTTTTGTGATAATGCTCATTTATTTCCATGTGATTATATCGGTTTTGAATTTGAGGACGTGACATTACTTGGACACACACAATTACCAAGGAAGCTACCTAAGCTACTTATCACTAACATTATACAGGTGTTTATAACGTAGTAATATTAACTGACCATAGAACAGATTCATAGAATCTATTACTCTTTTTGTGAAAGGACTACGAATGAAAACTGGTGTAGAGCTATAACTTTGAGACCATCATCATTTCCTCGGAGAATGTTTCCCTCATGATATGCATCATGATTTTTTTCCCGGATAGGTAATCCTTAAAACGCTTGACGTTGGTTTTATCTCCTGTTTAAGACTTCCCAGTGCATTGTGCCTTTTCAATAATTATAATACTATACATCATTTGATACAGCGCTCTATCTAGCTAGACTAAGCCGCGCTTTACAGTACATAGATATACAATTAATACAATTAGCATATACATTAATTAATACAATTTTGAGGAATTGGTAGGAGCTGCCTTATCAGGCACTAACTACTAGTCCTTTATATGCCACATGGATAATATCTCCCTTTGTGTGTATGCCTGCGTTTGGTCTGGAGATGTAATGTGTTCTGTTTGTAGTGGGACCGTGCTTCCATCGGTATTAGCTATAGTGCCACCTCACTTGAATGCTACAGCACAGATACCGCAACATCCATCCCAGACCATTGTAAACTCCAACTTTGTTGTTGGAGTTGTGTGGGCAGGAGAAGAAAAAACACTTTCGTTGAATATTCAATGCGTATGACAACTTCGGGGATCGAACCCCGGCCGCCTGCGTGGACGACCGGAATGTCAACCACTCGACCAATCCGCCTATAAACAACTGTACCAGTTTTAATGTTGTCGTCTGCCCAAATCGCTCCAAATTTATTTATTAACAGTCACCGTTGTTGGACACACGGTTTCTAATCTCTTTCAGGTGGTAACATTTCTGGTGTCAATTCAAGACAAAATTTTCCATATTTATTCTTAACCTTAAGGATCCCTCTCCCACTCCGTGTTCTTTTTCTTATAAAGAGTAACCTCCCCTTCCCTTCCGTTTGAATATCACTGTAACCCATTTGGGCAAGAACACTTCCGTTGACCAAGTCGCGCAATCGGTTATAGCGATAGTGTAACAATCTGAAGTCCAGGGTTCGAATCTCGGTCTAGCCCTGCTGATTTTGTTTTTTTACTCTCGGAAGACTGCTGTTCAATATATTTGGTTAAAGTCCCTCAAGGAACAGTTTTCTTTTCAGATATGATTAATCAAAGTTGAAGTCATGTCGGAAAAAACAGTTTCGAACGCTTAGCATCATTTCCAAGTAGACTCTGTCTTTTGAAGCAACGTTTGGAACACTCGAGTTTTTTATAATTATATTTGCCAATAAAATCTTAAGATTTTGTTGTTTTAAATACTTGAAACGCCACAAAATCGAAATATCTTTGCCAAGTTGTCGTCTGCTCGAGTCCGTTTGGTCTCGTTTGGTCTCGTTTGGAGTGATTTGTTTTTTGCTGTTCTAATGGTTGTTTCTCAGACAGCGTTTATAAATAACAACAACAAAAACAAAATTTGACGCAGAAGTTTTAATACATGTAGTTCAATAAAATATTCGGTTTCATTATTTGTACATTTGCAAATGTTAGTTCATACAGGATGACAGAAATTCTGCCCAGATTCACCTCACCGCAACAACAGGGCCGACGGAGTCTATATAGAGATTGTTTCTGTATTTGGGAGAATGATACATAAAATAGATGTTTTTTCTACACACTGAGTATACATGATATAACATATCACCACCACCTATCTACTTACTAGGTTAATACATATTTTAGTAGTTTACAATTATAATAGCAAACATGTACAAAAAGGGATACAAAATCTATTGTGAAGTACACTGACTTTTATGTGACAGCGTGATTTTTGAGACATTTACAGTAAAATTAGTACGTGAATGCAATATCTCGGAGAAATATTCTTATAAGAAACACATTCAACATAATTTTTAAACGCAGGTTTCAAAAAAAAGGTGAAATTGTAATTTTCGACGTTAAAAATCACAATGCGTAAACCCAAAATTTTAAAAAGTAGTGCGCGATCCTACATATCAATGTTTGTTTAAGTATCCTTCCGCGTAATTTATCGGTGATTTAATTGACGTCCCAAACAAAATATTTTATGTCTAATGTGTTCTATGATGATGGGTTATTTTGAGAATGAAAATAAAATGTTACTATTTATGTACATATTTTAGTGGTGATATTATTTAAGCGGTATAATTATTTCAGTGGTGATATTATTGTAGCGGTTGCATATTTTAGCGCTAATGTAAGTAGTGTTAATTCTTAGACATATGCTAAATAAACAGCATAAAACATCTATTTTCGTATAAGCAGAAATTGGGTTTATGATAAAATCTTTACAGTACATTTCCATTATACAGCCATTTGATATAAACCAATTACAGCAAGAACCAATCGGAAGCTGTTCGGGTCTTTCCGTCATAGGTCGAACACCGTGGAATGTCGTCAAATTCAAACGGAAATTCCCTCATGAGGTTTGATTGACGTTTGTGACTTGATGAATATGGTATCCATGATAGCAACATAACCATACATGTATTTCCCTACAAATGGCTGTTCAACTGTTTAATCAATACCCCTGAAGACACATTTTAACTCTTCCAATTCAAAGGTTGGAATAGTTCATTATGAAATTCTAGGGGTGAATGAGTTAATTAAAATGTCTCAAGAATCGAAGAAGGCAGATGTAATGCAATTTTTCCTTTTATTTTGAACGTGTTTTTCTAAATTAATGACCATGCTATCGCGCATCATTGAATGTGTCAGCAAGGATTTGTAATAATTCTATATCTATTATATAGCATACTTCTAGATTCATCATAACACTTCTCTGTTGATTTGTTCTAGATTATTTTAGTTCAATGGTTTCTTCGTTTTCTTTGATAACAATGTCAGACTGGGGTGGCGCGCCTCTCGGGTCATGCTCGCCTTTGTACCAGCTGAGGAGCTCGTCCAGGGTTTGTGGTAGCTCCCTACCATTGGTCTCGGGCAACATGACCAGTCCCACGTTAACAAGTAGAGAACCGACCCCGAATATCAGCCCGGGAGCCCAGAACGCGCGGCGAGCCTGTGGGGGAGAAATAAGGTTGCGGATAACAAGAATATAATTTGCTTCTTAAAAACAAATAAAAAATAATTTGATAGGATCGGTATTTAATAACAGATTTTCGAAAAAAAATACACATATGATTGGTAAGCAAAAATGAAGAAAATGATTATGTGAGATTTGGGAAGAGGAAAATAGGATAAATGTTTATAAATTGTTATGGTTGTCGTAGAATAAAATGAATTTACTCTTGTAAGTATATTATGGAGGAATCTATACGAAATCTAATTTTATTTTTTCGCCTCTTTATTTTTCCAAAATACACTCATGAAGTAAAATCAATTCTATTCTACAACGCCGAAAACTATTAATATACACTTCTGATTTTCCTTTAATATTGTTTTTATCAGCCAAACCGTTACATTTTAATTTACAATTTACTCACCAAGACATCGGCATACGGTGATAGCATGCCACCTAACCGAGCGGCGGCGGAGGCCGTGCCGAGGCCAGCATTCCTGAAAATTAGATGTCGAAATAAAATAGAAACAGAGGAAAGAAATAAGGAAAGATGAAACATGTAATGGAAATAATAGGACAAAGCTTAGGATCAAGTACAGAAAACAGTACTCACAAAAACGAAAGACAATGGAGAAAACAACGAAAAACAAGGTCAAATTAATCATTAGATTTTTGTAGGGGTAAATGTTGCCTGATTTGTTAGTAAGACGGACGTGATTTTTTGACGTAATTTGGCCTGATTTTGTTAGTAAGACGGACGTGATTTTGTGACGTAATCTGGCCTGATTTTGTGAGTAAGACGGACGTGATTTTATGACGTAATCTGGCCTGATTTTGGTAGTAAGGCGGACGTGATTTTGTGACGTAATCTGGCCTGATTTTGTTAGTAAGACGGACGTGATTTTGTGACGTAATCTGGCCTGATTTTGTTCGTAAGACGGACGTGATTTTGTGACGTAATCTGGCCTGATTTTGTTAATAAGACAAACGTGATTTTATAACGCAATCTTGCCTGAATTTGTCGGGGTTATCCTGTATGAATCTGTTAGTAAGACGGACCTGAGTTTTGTGTGGGAAACTTACCTCAGATTTGTTGGATAAATTTCCGGAGTATATAATCCCATGGTTGTCCAAGAAGCTGTGATGGCGAACTTTCCCGTGAAATTAAATATGATGGAGAAAATATTCGCTATTCCTGCGTCGTCTGAAATAATAAAAATAAAATAATAAGGGAAATGCACAACCAATTTTTTTCCCAAATAATTTTTAAAGCACATTTTTAAATCTTGTACATTTTATATAAATATATTAATTAATTGTATTTATTTATGGAAACATCAAACAGCAAATTGATACAGCCGTTCATTGTTAACATTCGAGGGAACATCACATGCATTCTAATTCATTTCAGATGTAACACGGCATCTGATTGGTCAATCAAAATGATTTGCAACAGAAAACCAACGATATACCGTCCGCAAATTTCTCATTTGCATATGAAGCCCGAATGGCGATTGTTAAATGACGTCGATGACCCCGACCGAATTGATTATTCATGACGTCATGAACAATAGCGTGACCCCGAAAGGTCAACGTAATTCCGCCCCACTTTGAATATTTCTAACGTCACTAATCCAGAGGTGAGAGATACCTAGAATTTGAAAAAAACACTCAAAATTACCTTAAAATGATAGTTTCTTTCGGTGGTTTTGATTGATATGAGTAAGAATAAGCATACGCCTACTGTATTTTCAAATTTGCAGCGGTATATCGTGATTGTACTGTCGCAAATATCCGTTTTACTGGCTCCGCTCCACGTCGCCAATAAAACTCAATTTGCGACAGTATAATCACGGTAAACCGCTAAACATTTCAGAATACAGTTGGGTTATCCCTTCAATTAAAATTTGATTCGATGACGTCAACAAGGTAATGAAATGTGAGTGTGTTTTTGGATCATGCATAAAGAGTTTGGAGTAATCTTGTAAACTGGCCATATGTGTACATACAACATTATCTTATCTCAGGCAAAGATACGTTCATAATAACTTTACTTTAAACGAGTTATTTTTTTTAAGTAGAATGACTAACGATGAAATCCGACAAAAACATTTAAAAGACAAACGTCTCCATCGAAAGTGGCGACACGAGTTTGAAATTTTTAATGAACTACGTCACTTCCGGTCTACAGATACAAACCTTTCGGTAGCTTCATGACGACAGACAGAATTAGAGCAACTCCAGCGAGAGTATGGAACATAATGGACGTCTTTTTTCTCCCTATCCTACAAAACAACGTCATTTGTTTTACCAAATATGTATAAGGATGGTATCACATCATGCCCCTTCTACAAGGGAAACACGATCATTTATTACCTTACGTCAACAAAGAAAGACAAAGGCAGAAATTTACGTGACACTAAAGCAAATGAAAAGAAAACGTTATACATTGAACAAAAGGTTAAAATCGTGAAAACAAATATTAATTTTCCCGGATACATGGCAATATATTTTTTACCAAATTATTTAAATTATAATATCAACTATTTGAATATTGAGACACAAAATTATTATTTTTGCCAGAATGAGATTTGCTTTAAAAAGTTATTCTGCAGCTTTACTTCTGTACTTAATTAAGGCATTAGGCGCACTTAAGGTTTAGGTAAAACAGGTGAATTATCGTTCAGACTGATTTGAAAAGAAAATGGTTGGCATATTCAACAATCAAAATATTTCAGAGAAAAGGCACTGTTCAATTTTGTTTTCACCCACTGTTTTGGACATAACAGAAAAAACCATTAGTTGGCTTTCCTCAAAAAACGTCATATTCAAAACGATGTTTTTGAAATGACTTATATTGCTATACACGTGATCATTTTCAAAAACACCAGAAGAATACCGAAGTCTAAAATCATACACAAAATAAAGAATATTGCTCAAAAGTGGTTTTTTCTGATAAGAGAATAACATATAAAGTGGTTGTGATTTGTCTTCGTGCGACCTTGACTACTAAAAGGTCATATGCAAATCCCCTAAACAAAATGGTCCTGTAAATAAAAGGTTTCCTGCCGCACAGGGACTTGATTTGTTACAGACAATAAACTAAGGTGTTCAGAGTAATTTAACATGTTTAAGGGATTTAGATTAACATCAGGAGATTTTTTATATATCTCTCCAACGAAACTAAACACTGTTTTTGGTACCGTCATCACTTAGAAATGCGGTTTACGATGCATCGAGAGCTGTCCTCCCTTCTCCTGATTATCACGTTTTGGGTGGCATTTTTACCAAAAGTTAACCTGAACCCCTAAAATGTGTTAAATTACTCTAAACACCTCAGTTTAGGTCCGAATAAATCTCTAACAAATTATCAGGTCCCTGTGTCCTGACGTGGGTGCTGTGAACGATTTCCTGGAGTGTAAATATGCCTTTATATTACAAACATCGACCTACTTAGCGTAATGCTGACAAAATCATCACACATCTGTCGGACCATAGTGTCAATATAAGCTAGTTAATGGATTTTTCAAAACAAAATAAATATTTTCTCAGAGTTATCTCCCTTCCACTGCTTTTCCTATGATCCTAAATTGAAATATAGCACCCTTACATGTTTAAACTGGACTTGCCCAGTCTTTGATTTGGTAAGGTTCAAATGATTATTTAGGGGTGAAATAGTAAACCTACCTGTTAATGAGCAACCAGACGACAATACCTGCCGGTATCTCCAAGGCACCGTTGATCAGGAAGTTGATGTACCTGTCTGTCGACAAGGTTACTGAAGACAAGTACAGACCGTAGTATGTCAGACTGTTGATGAACCTGTGTGAGAAATGATAAACTATTAAATATAATCTTTATTTATTTGACAATTTTGTTTAAACAAGTTCTAACTTCTCAAATTAATCATTCTTATTAACCCGGATGTTAGCGCGCGGGGGGTCTTAATGTGAGAGGAAAACAGAGTACCCGGAGAAAACCCACGTGGTCAGACAGGTGACAACATGCCTTTTCACATCCGATCGGGGAAATCGAACCCCGGCCGCCTTGGGGAAAGGTAAGTACGTAGCGCTACCACTGCGCTACCCGACAACCCAACAGTATACAAACATAAGGCGATCTCAAAGGTTTGCGAAACGTAACTTGTAGCTAGATAAGCCTAGATGATGTACTGTGTTAAACAAAAGGTATCTTAAAAGAATATCAACACAGTTACCTGTTTAGTAAAGAAATGAGAAACTGGTGGTTATTTAGCTGAATAGGGGTTGTCTCTCGATCAAATTCTAATCTACCAGTCAGCTGACCAAATAATGTTAGATGGTGATACAATGTTATTTACCAAACTACCTTCAAATTATACTTGTTTTGTCATGAAAGTTATGAAAGAAGATAGAAATATTAATTAATTTCCATTCGGAAATTTTACCAAAATTTGAACGTTGTTATTTACACAAATAAACGGCCATCGTTGAAAGTCAGGGCTACCGACACACCGTCATACCGACTAAACGATTCAATCTATCCAGGTGTCAGTATAGACAGGTTTCACAGTCGTAACTTACCAGGTATACCATACGATCAGAGAATTCCTGAGGAGCAGTTTATGTCTGAAGATATCAAGGATTGTGTATTTTTCTGCTGCTTTTCCCTCCGAGACTTCCTCTTTGCTTTGATACAATGCCGCGTGCGCATGCTCATTTGTAGCTTCTGGTTCCTGTTGAAATAATAACGGTGCTTTTCCATTCCCAAATTCTGGTATTTTCCGAAGTAACAGCTGTTGATTTCCATTTCCTATATCCGGTTCAGGTTGAAATATAAACTGCTCCTTTTCGTTTCCTGTTTCCGGTTCGTTTTGCTCGTCGTTTCCTTTTTCCGTTTCGTTTTGAAGTAATGATTGATCCTTTCCCTCTGTAGGTTGCAAAGGTTTCAGCTCTTTTTCTCCGTCTAACATTCTCAGGGCTCCTTGTGGGTCCAACTTGTTCCATTTCGCTATATTCTTTATCATCTTTATCGCTTCTTTTTTCTTGTTGTTTGCAATCAACCATCGAAGAGATTCATCGGTTATCCTTAAAATAGAACAAAGCATCAGTTTAAGGAAATATACCCAACTTAAACAATAAAGTTACAGAAACAGCACAATAAATAACAGATTTAACTTCATGGTGGATTTTTTCAGTGGATTTTTATTTTTTTATTCCAAGCGCCAATTATTTTTTAAACTATTTTTTTAATAGTGGTAAACTTTAAATCTAGTAAAAAATGATAGCCAGAACACTTTCAAATTTCAAACGATTACCCTCGTTTTTCTACTCTACGAAAAATAGAAATTTACTCGAACCTTCCCATCTTGTTTTATACAGTAGATATTGTTAACTATTGTTGGGAAATGGCTTACTTAGTTGGATGGTGGGTCCCTAAATTCATTTGTATAAGGTACAGCTTTGATGTAACGCCCCTCGTTTTATTTGCCACCTCGCTTACCGCTTATGACTTTCAATGTCCCTCTCGTTTTGTACATTTCACTCAATTTTTCGCCAAAGCCCTTTATTCCGTCTTTGCGTATTGCAGAGTTATCTTCTCTTGGGAGCAGGTATTGATTGTTAGGTCATTGGTTTGTGTGAGAAAATTACGTCGTTTTCTCAAAAAATGATGACGTTATTCTCACAAACAAGTGACGTAACAATACCTGCTCCCAAGATAAAATAACTCTGCAATATGCAAAGACGGAATAGGTACAAAGTTCGTCTTTCGTTGGGCCGTCGTTTCTACCCCAGTATACGAGAGAGAGAAAAACCTGTAATCTCGCTGTTTCGTTGGTTTTTTTTGCCACGTAATATATATAAGTTAGAATTGTCTTTTCGCCCCGAATAGACAAAAAACGAAACGGCACTACTCATGTGTCGTAGTTACCTAAATCACGTGACATTTGAGCAGCTGGTTTATTGGTTGCTTGGTAAATATTTCTAGTGGTATTTTAGGGATGCTTTACATTTCAAAAATAACACTCGTCTGAATGATATTTACCAGTAGGCGGCTACACAATGAAAGGCAAGCGCGGAACAGGCAAGTTGAAGGACCCGCCAAGAGAAATTCCGAAGGACATAAGCATAGCCGGCAAAGAATACTACCGCGATGGCCCAATATAAACCAGAAATGGCGGCAATGGCTCCTCTGCTCTCTAGAGGGAACATCTCGATACACATCGCATACATTGACAAGCCAAGACCCTGAAAAAGAAGTTTTTTTTGTTTATTGAACATTTTTCCTCAAAATGTATCCTCAATTTTTCGCGATATGTTTCAATTTGAGCATAAAGCAGATTTCTTTTTGCTCATTTCGATTTTAGGGTTAAGATAAGACTAAAGACTTAGTGACTAACATTTTCCAATGTATTAGAATGTATTATGGATAATACGTTTCAAGCATGTACTAGACTGAGGAATCAATACATTGTATTAATTGTGTTTTCTGGTACATGTATTTTTTGTGAATAATTTATTTTCCCAAAATATGACTTAAAACAAGTTTTTGTTAAACCAATTTGTCAAAAACAAAGACAGATACACCGTACACATTTGTATGCATTCACAGGGTAACTTTTTCAGAATATTCAATTAACATTGAAACAATTTCTTTTAAAAGAAGTCTTTTTTTCCAGAGCTTTATACACCTCTTGACCCAATCCCTTTCCCTTCCTTTTGTTACAACACATTTTATTTTTAACTTTTTCTTATTCATCAGAGATGTATAATTGAACAATTATTTTTGTGTGATTCCAATATAAATATTCCCAAAGCATTAGTACCCTCAGTACGTAAACAATAACACTGGATTAGCCTAGCGTCACCTAAATGTTTGTATCTTACAATGATCTCCCGTCATACGAGGTGGAAGGTGAAGCTTCCAAGTGACAGCGATTCAATTGCGTTCACAGCCCCTATGAGGACAGTTTAATCCAGTAATGTTGAAGAAGGGACATGCTGTAGAAATATACTAAAATACGTAGCAACGGACTGACATGGACTCATCCAACTCGTCGAGAAGGACGCATATTTGAGATATCAATATTCATAAGACTAAAGTTCGTTTTTTACCTGCTGTATGAAACCCGTCAAAATCCTCAGGATATTGAATACCAGTAAGTTTGGCGCGAAACCGGTTCCGGTTAGGATAGCCGTTAGGGGGATGAAAGTAACCATGAAAATAGTCTTCCGTCCATAACTATAAACACAACACAATGTAGATTTATAACAAATAGAGAGATAAAAGGTTTTCGGAGTACGAGGCGAGATAGAAAACGGCTATGGACATAACGTATTAGGACGACGAGTTGAACTATTTGACAAAAGAAAATACCATTAAAGGAGAATGAATGGAGTTTTTTATGAAAAATTCGTCGAGATTAGTAGAAATAGTATTACTTGTGAAATTCTTTGCATATTTATTGATTTACTAGTTTTTGAGTAAGTATTCATTGAGTCACCGTTCCTTTGAATATTAATTTAGTAATAATTCTTTTGAATATTCATATACTTGTCATTCTTTGAATATTCACTGAGTAACCACTCTTTTGAATATTCATGGCATAATTAACATAGAGGCAATTTCATCAGAAACCTACGTAAGATACTTAGCCGGACAAAAAATAAATATCTTTTGTTTACGACACTACTATGAGTGTTTCCTGTCTCTTACGTTTTTTTGCCTTTATACTTCACTTTTTCAAAATTCTAAATTCTTGGTGTCCTCTGTGAAACAAGCAAGAAAAAAACCAGAGAAAAAGCACTTGTCAACATTAATGCTTTGTATACACATGACCTGGTGACTTACCGGTCTGAGAGCGTGGTAAAGATAGTTGCGCCAAGCGCTTGGCCGGTCATGATCAGGGTCGTGGTGAGGCCCCCTAGTCCCTGTCGGTCACATACAAGGTCCCACTGGATGATAGCAACGAAAATGATACTGATGTTGTTCTCAAAACAAACAGTGACATTTGTTAAAAGGGAGGTAACTCAAACACGCATCATGGGTGCACATTAAAAGATATCATTAAAACGCATCCCTTGTCCTTGGTGCAACGATTTGCATTGCTCACTTTGCTCATATTGAAAATATCTATATGCTGAAATTAAAATGATTATAAATAAGTGTTTTTTTTTGCTTTTTTCCCTTTTAAATATGTCTCTAACGGTTTTACCTAATCGTTTCTTGGGATTTGTCTTTTCTAACTGTTTTAGCCAATCATATCAGAGAATGTGCCTTCTCTTAACATTTTCAGCAAATCAGATCCGTGGATTAATTTCTTAGAATGAAAAGTATACGTAAGTCTGTTGTTTGTGTAATATTTGAGGCCTAGCGAGGGGAGATAACTCTGCCCTAGTCTACTTACTTCACTCGCAAACGAATATTCCTTGGTGGTCTCGTAACTGTATCCCTGTAGACAGGAGGAAGTGACCGGTGTCCAGGTACTGTTGGTACGGTTGCTGCTGATGGTCAGTTCACATTCACCGTACTCAATATTGTAGTCGGACGCATTTCCCTCCGGAATTCCGAGTCCATATTCGTGCAGAGGTTTAGACAGAGCGGCGCACTTGTGAGGCGGGGTATAGCCTGCATATATATTAACAGATATATTAACTTATGTTAAAATAAAAACCGAATAGCGAGACATTATCGATAATTTTCGGTTTTCATACTGATTAACACTTATAATTCTTGAGAAGGTTTTTTTATTTTTTGTTTTGATAAACTTTTGGCAATAAGGCAACCTCAATACTCCAGGGGTTACTCTCGCTTACACTTTCTGCACCCCTGAAATATGACATAACAAATGTGAAGGATCAGTGTGCACCACCTTGTGGATAAGACAAAGCAAACTAGCTTCATCATTTGAAGTACATAAAAACAATATCGCGGCCGTGTAACGGTAGAATTGACTGGCCTTGGTGTTAGGTGTCGCTCTTCTGCAATGTTTTCAAGGACAGGTATCAGCCTAGCGATTGGTCTGGGTGCTTTTTTTTAAATGAAACTAATCAAATAGCTAGCCACATGCCTTCAATTTAGCCATGCCATATTCCAGAGTGCAGAGAGCGTGTGACCGTAACCTATGGAATCAAGGGGATGACAATGAGGAAGGTATGCGTATATCAGGTTACTCAAATCGACCAGAATTGACAATGTGTGTCATTCCAGCGCTACTGGAGAGTGGTTTGACGGGGACGCAAGGCCAGCTGTGGAGTGCGGAGTAAAGTGTACTTAACTATAAGGATAACAATAAACTAAATTGTACTCGTGTAACTAGTAGGAAATGGTCATAACTGATAACAGCCCTTGAAGGTAGGCTCTAGAGGAGTTCCAAAAGCTGCATGTTCAGGAGGGCGCCACGAGGACATCAGTACTCACGCTCAACATCTAGACATGTTTAATCATACGACGGTTAAACATTGTCAGTTTTGAATTCATTTTCTTATAAAAAAACCACCTTTTGCCAGGTATTAGAGACTGAATGGTATATGAATATTTATAGTAATTTGCACAGGTGAATGTGGGTATGAATAATAAGTAGATTGCTCAGTGAGAAGCGAGGTGTACGAGTGTTATCAATAGCAGGGTAGATGACCACGTGATCATTGGTCAAAGAGCGGTTGTCATTCTTGTCTGGAACATCACAGACAATAATCGGTAAACATGATATTTATATATATATAAAGATAATAAATAACAAGCAAATTGACCGATAAATAATGAAAATGAAGGACACTGTGACTTGGGTTGCATTGGGGAGAGGAACGAGGGTGTAGGCCTAAGTCACCTACGGATGTTACTTTGGTGAAAGTAACGATTTTCGAGTGGTAAAAGGGGGAATTTACCGGTGGAAATGGAAAGGAAGCGTTGTTTGGCAGAGATGGCGGTCGGGGAATGGGAAAAGGGTGAAGGACAAACATAAAGATGGCTGCCGACGTAGTGTGGTTTGACGGGAAGGCGGTTGTGGAGTGGAGGGTGTGGTATATTGTTATATAAAGATGGCTGCCGACGTAGGGTGGTTTGACGGGAAGGCGGTTGTTGAGTGGAGGGTGTAGTCTATTGTTATATAAAGATGGCTGCCGACGTAGGGTGGTTTGACGGGAAGGCGGTTGTGGAGTGGAGGGTGTAGTATATTGGTATATAAAGATGGCTGCCGACGTAGGGGGGTTTGACGGGAAGGCGGTTGTTGAGTGGAGGGTGTAGTATATTGTTATATAAAGATGGCAATGAAGGGGGGTTGGCGGAAGTAACGGTTTGGGAATTGAAAGAGTGGCGTTTTACTGACAGACTTACTTATATTTAAACTTGCACTGACATGTTATAATCTAAACTAAGTAAAGTTCGTTTCGGTTCATCAGACTTTGAACCGAAATGAATATTAATACGAACGTGATCGAAATGCGGTTTGTATCATTTTCCTGTGATGCAGTGGGCATATGCCTTTGAACCGCATCTAAAAGTAGTGGCCTGTTCGTTTATACGGAACAACCGGTATGTCCATTTTTGAATGTAACATTTTGGGTATAAATCCTGGCGGACCTGCAAATGTTTATGCAGGCCTTGCAAGGCTTTGTCAAGGCTTTGTCGAGGCTCGCCTGAAAGCAGCATCAGATTACTAGGTCTGACCTTATTTCATAAACAAACAACTCTGGTCCAACCGGTTCAACAGCTTGGATCGCGAAAAACGAAAACGGTCCAGTTCGATGCTTTAAAACTAAAGATAGCAACGAACAATGTTTTTAATGGGGATGGCATTAAGGAGTAGAAGGTATACGTGTAGGCCGGACAATACCAGCCTATAAAGATGACGATGAGTATGGTTTAATGGAGGTGGTTGTTGGGAGGTGTAGAGAGAGATGAAGGCCGGACACACTTACCTTTAAAGATGACGATGGGTGTGGTTTAACTGAGGTGGTTGTTGGGAGGTGAAGAGAGAGATGAAGGCCAGACACACTTACCTATAAAGATGATGATGGGTGTGGTTTAATGGAGGTGGTTGTTGGGAGGTTGAGAGAGAGATGAAGGCCGGACACACTTACCTATAAATATGACGATGAGTGTGGTTTAATGGAGGTGGTTGTTGGGAGGTTGAGAGAGAGATGAAGGCCGGACACACTTACCAATAAAGATGACGATGAGTGTGTGTTAATGGAGGTGGTTGTTGGGAGGTGAAGAGAGATATGAAGGCCGGACACACTTACCTTTAAAGATGACGATGGGTGAGGTTTAATGGAGGTGGTTGTTGGGAGGTGGTTGTTGGGAGGTGGAAAGAGAGATGAAGGCCGGACACACTTACCTATAAAGATGACGATGAAAAGTGGAATGGCTACCGGTAGATAAGCGATGAAGAGATACAGAAGCTGAAGTATTTGATATTTTCCCCATGGTTTTAGTTCTCGCTGTAAATCGTCCACGTCTACGTCCATGTCTGTCTGTTCGTCTGTTACTTTTTACAATGATCCGGTATTCTATATCTAAATCGAATTGCGTCGGTCTGTTCTTTCGTCCTGGTTTCAGTAACAAAATCAACCTTCCGTACTTTTGTCCGTCTAGTACTATTTTCGGTCACCTGTTATATTTCGATTTCTATTTTTTCGTCCGTTACTGTACCATTCAAGTTTGTCTGCACGTCAGACCTGCGTTATAATACTAATAGTGATATTTTATCAATATCAGTCAATTCGTCCGTAATTGTGATTGGGGTCTTCCCGTGTAATCACATTGATCTGTTTTTCGATGAATCCTGTCAAATTTTGTCCGTTCGTCCTGAGCAATATTTACGCGCATCTATCAATCCAGGTGTAGTTGTAGCTCATCGCTTCTGCTCTCATTTACTGAAGTTTTATACAGATTCCGTTTACTTGTCGATGTATTATCCACCCTCTTTTTAAAGGAAAGTCATTCACATTCTTTCGTAGTAATTCCGTCAAATCGAAACTTTCCTTTGAATGTTGGGCGAGGTAAGTTTTCTAGCTAGACGGACGTTCCGTCTTCAACTTCATATTTCCCAAGTAGATATTTTTCAGAATCTTTGCATTTGTCCGTTTCGAAATGTACTTGCTCCTCCGCTCTGCAGCCTTTTACCTTCTGCGTTTTATAGTTAGAGTTCACGCGTCCGAAACGTCCAACAAAGAGGTCACATTGTGAAATAGAACACTCTCAGATACATGTAGCACACTGTCACAAATAACTTTATAGGCTATGGATCCATATGCTCTTGAACATTTTGTAAAAGTAATTAATTCCAAATCACATACATAATTACCTACATGTGTGCCTTAGAATACGTACTAGGACAGTCGTCACGTGACGTATGTATATTAGCTTGACCCCATTTACTATACAGCCGCTGGAACAAAGGCCTACTAAAATAAATTATATTTGTCTAAAAAATCTCAAAATGTTAATTTGTATTTGTTAAAATATTCAATCGCACGTGTATACATGAGTATGAATTGTTACACAGGGAATACAATAATCTACCAAATTCTGACGTCATGGCACTGGCGTCGAAAAATAGACATGACGTCAAGATGGTGACATTGGTTTGGTGTTTGCCAGTGAAAACATATTTATTCGTGAATGTTCGCATTTCATTTCTGTAATATGAAGAAAAAAGAATATTATCATTTTTTTCCATTTCACACGGTAAGCACATCAGCACATGGTAACTTAAGCACATTTAGAACATTTGCATACAGCACATAAAACAAACCATCACATGGAAAGCTTATTAGCACTTAGTTAGCATACACCACGAAAGCGCAAACCACTGGCAGCACATCACAGAAAATAAAAGATTTGCTAGGATATACATAGGGTACATCCGCATTCTGGATCAGTCTGCCGTAATCAGAGTAATTCTCTGCTTTCCGTAACTCAGCTCCCTCCATTCNCCCCCCACCCCCACCCCCAGGTATCTCGTCACCACTAGGACAATAAACATGACGTCATATACCTCAGGAGAAGGTGTCGTTAGAAAAAAACGATAGTATATAGGGGCCTGTTCGTTTATGCGGAACAACGGGTTTGACCGTTTATAAATGTAACAATTTCGGGTATAAGTCTTGTGGACCTGCAACGGTTTATACAGGCCTTGCAAGACTTTGCCAAGGCTCGCCTGAAATCAGCATCAGATTACTAGGTCCGACCTTATTTAATAAACAAACCACTGTGGTCCGACCGGTTTGACCGTTTAAACGAAACGGCCCTAGTCCAGGTATAATGTAGTGAATATGGTGAGAGTTATCTTTCTGGGATTGCTGACCGCTATGACGTTTCGGCGCAATCGGGAACCGTTGGCACTTTCCATAAACGAGTATTTTCTCGTTTACGACAAGCGCCGACGGTTCCCGACTGGTTTCGGCGCGGTCTCGTCGCTTCCTGACTTCCTACACGCGTGAGTTTATTAACCAATGTTGAAATATTAGTTAAGGAGCTGGGAGCGGTCCTCAAACCCAATGTAGAGACAGAGTGATTCTCCACACACCACATCGGGGCTAACATTTTCTCCGGTTGTAAATTTCCCGAACCAGCATATGAAGCACGAAAAATACTCGTCCACGACCGTTGTCAAGGTTTTTATGTGATTTTCAGCCTCCAACAAGATCAAGATTACTGCAACAGACTAACATGTCACCACAGACAGATTGCTTCAGACCTGTCATTGTGGGTTATTGTTGTATCGACGTTTGTGTGTTGAGTGTTGTTCTGCCATGATTCCTAAAGATGACTTTTAACAAGTAACCGTTTTTTTCGAAGTTATCGCCCCTGCTGAATGTGAATCTCGGAAACTCCAGCGGTAACGTAGAGATTATTCAGGATAAGATTGAAGTGGTATTAAATTGACGTTTTTACCAAAATATCGCCACTTCAGACATGCTCGAGTGTGTGTTGTTAAAATAGCGATAGAAAGGGTTGTATAGTGTTAAGGGAATATCTGTGAATTTGAAAACAGAAATTGACAGAAGAGTTCCGACATGTGTCATCTGTATTTAAAATTATCTTATGCGTCATCTCGGTTCGATTTGGTGTTGACAGAGCGAGAATATTATGTGAATAGCACACCAATCGGGACACTTTTATTTCATCGTAGGAAAGATTCGACATAAAAAATGGCGGTTTAACATTGACATTTAAAAACAAAACAATTTAAAATCATACTAGGCCAACTATATTTACGTTGTGTTTTACAGGACTTTCCTCCAACACCGGGAGTAAAAGATGGAAGGAAAAATGAAATCATTAATTCTTAGCCATGAGAATTATGGTAAAGTAGCAAAATATCCTGTTTTAAGAATAATGATTCCGATAAGATTGATTGATTGTTCATTGTCTAGGTGTTAACGTCCTATAATCAATTAAGGCCATTTAAGGACGTGCCGCCATGTGTGTTGTGTAGGTGTTGCATGCGTATATGTGTGTCGGAGACAGGGTACGTTGGTGTATCTGCCTCCTTGTGATAGTGCGGAATGCTGATAGGAAGTAATTATAAACAACAGTCTATAGGGATAGGTGAGATTGTGAAGCTAAAGCAACAAAAGGTGTTGCATCATAGCATCTATATAACCAGTTTGTAGATTCCAACATACACGATGTTCAGATTGCACGAAAGCCAAATTGATTCATCAACTTAAATGAAATGCACTAAATTTATCCTACAGCAATTATTAAACAATTTTTTCGCAACTAACATTAATCAATTTTGTTGGCACGGAGGAAGCGCACAGATAGTCTTGCCGTGACTGGAAACCCGAGTGTGATCGTCGGAAAATGAAAATCATTGTTTTACAGTCTCAAAAAATACCAATGATGCCATGAGAGCGCTAGATCAATTCGTGAATGACATTACACAGTTAGCACTGTCATGTTTTCAAAAAGGAATAAAATGAATAAAACGGAATTTTTGGATTCTTTGTTTTCGTGACTTATGAGCGTTCTGACTATGGGGAAGATAATAGGTGACAATACTGTCCGAGTAACAATCGGGAATGTTCGGCACTTTCCGTAAACGAGAAAAATGCGGAAAGTGCCGACGGTTCCCGATTGGTCCGAGTAATTCCACATTTTATTCAAGGATCCCTGTTCCGCTACACTGCAGTTTATTATATGTTTAGAGTAACCTCCCATTATCTCCCTATTGGATATAACTGTAGTACTTTTTGCCTCGTACACTTCCGTTGTCCAGGTAGCTCAATCGGTTTCAGCGATAGAATAGCAATCCGAAGTCCAGGGTTCGAATCAAGGCGCAGCCCTGCAGAATATATTACACCATAACACATTTGTTGATTATATTATGTTTATTTCATTTCCATAATGTTTTTATAAAAGTCTCGTTAGGTATAAACAAAAATCAAAAATGATTTATCATAGCTATAGTCATGCCGGAAAAACAAGTTTCGAATGCATACTTTCACTTTCTGGCAGTAGTACGGGGATCCTTAAAAAGGCCATGTTTTCAGTTACACTCGTCCCAGTGCGAGGCTCATCTATGGCCCATATCAATAAGTATAGTCTATTCCAGAAAACTAGCAATTTAAGTAATCTTATCTTCTGATGACGTCACAATAGTGAACTAGATGCATCTGTATTCAGTGAATATATGATGTACTGATTGATCAGAGCGGTTTTTTATTTTAAATATTCATGGAGGTATGAACGCAAATCTGATATACAATACACAATAGCGTGAAATTCCTCTAAAGTGTTACCGATATGCGACTTGTGTTCATACTAGCATAAAAGTTGAAAAAAATACGTTCATTCTAGATTTATAGTTATTAGTTAGTTAATTTCCCCCAATATTTGCAGTTCGAAGTTTCTATTTCGTCGATGCAAAAGATATTCATTAAACAGTCTAACGTCACTTGAATGTTTGCTTTTTATGATAGTCTCACGTTATGCGAGGCGGAAGGAGAAGCTACAAAAAGACACTGATCAAATTGCGTTCATTGTCATTTGATTTTTACTTTTTCTGGTAGTGTTTATATCAGAATTTGAGAAATTACATTTCGTTTGTTCTTTTTTTTTTGAAATTCAATTTAAACATCTGAATCATTTCGGAACTCGTTGTCACGAATATAAAAAAAACGTTTATTGCAAATATACGTGTTATATTATAAAAAAAAACACTTTTCGAATGAACTAACATCGCTCCTCTGGGAAGTTCTTGTCTGGGTCTGGCGTTTCGATGTTTGGTTGATAGCATTCGTACGGGAACATGCACGTGCGCAATACTCTTAATTGCACGCAAGAGACTACATGCACTTTATGATATGTGTGATTGAGAGTTGCTGGACGATAGAGGCTTTCAATTTTTGTCAATTTTGTTATTGTTATGAGACTTTTGTAGGCAGTCCAAAACCACGCGCCAGCAACTGGCAAATTGTTTACATGTATATACACTTCATATACAGATATATACAAACGTGATAATTGATTTGAAGCTTTGTTCTCGATTTTTCGATATTTAAAGCATGCTTTTACATTTTTATCGTTGTTTTGAATTAAAGATCTATGTAAATAAGATACGGAATGTGCAACATATTGGGAATGACAATGGGGTTTTGTTATGCCATATAAACTCTTGACGATAGGATGCAGGCTGTGAATTGCCTATTCCGTCTTTTCGTATTGCAGAGTTATCTTCTATTGTGAGCAGTTATTGATTGTTACGTCATTGGTTTGTGTGAGAAAATTACGTCGTTTTCTCAAAAATTGATGACGTTACTCTCACAAACCAGTGACGTAACAATCAATACCTGCTTACAAGAGAAGATACATCTGCAATACGCAAAGACGGACTAGGGACTATAGGGTGTGCCTACTGTAGCAGATTTTGTAAAGCTTTTTTCTTAGTTTGTCGTATCTCGGGATCAAAGTTTGAAATTCTTGCTTAGGGTTACGACTATTTCAGAATCCTTCCCCGAGGGTTGATATTTCTCTATATACTCTTCTTTTTGATGGTTTGCCTCTTTAGGATCTTACCCGAGGGGTGATATTTCCACTTCTCGGGAGCCTGACTAATAATTGATTACTTTAGTATCTTATCCCGAAGGTTGATAAATGGTCATCTGTTCCCCAAAAGAAATGAATGGGTCCGTTAATAAAGGATGTACGTTTCCACATTATGCGTTATATAAGCACATGCTGAACACATGTTAGTAACACAGTTTGGCCATATCTACGTCATAACCGGTAACATGATATTA